TCCTATTAGTTTCTAGGATTCGGTGTGACTGAATTAACTTGAATCATAATTTACAGTTATTTAACTTGATGATGGTACAGAATGATAAACAACTTATTATACAAGCTTGTTTAATAATTATTATCATTTATAATAGCCCAAGTAAATATATTAAACATTATAAGCAAAGATGGATGGTGGCTAGTAGTGGAATTCAGGACGCGCGTTTCGTCCTATTTGGGACTCGTCAGCTGGATGTATCTGTATCTTAGAGTCGATGTTCACTCTGGGATGAACTCGAACCCAGTACCGTTCACTTCAAACGCTATCGCGTTATCCACTTAACTATTGAGTCCTGATAGCCATTAACTTGTACATGGGATGAGAAAAGCTTTAAATGCAAACTGAATCAAAAATCAGTCTGAATAATTTTTATTTTATTTTAAAAGCTGTGAATGAAAACTTGGTCTCTTTAATAAATTGCCATTTCACCGTTATTCTGCTTTTACTGGTAAAAAGGTATAATTAAGCTATAAATTACATTAATTACAAATAAGTTAATATACTATTGTAATTGTATTTATGGTGTGTATAAAGTAGACAAGCATATTTATTCTGCTTTATATTCTACGCTAATATATTTTCGAGTGTTCGTTTTTTTTAAAAAAAAACAACAGCTGATGTCTACAAATATCAAAAGATAGTAAAATTAGACGTTTTGTAAAGAGTAAATTGTAAACAGTTTTGGAAATAATGATTACATCTCTGTCTGTTGCATATATATATATATATATATATATATATATATATATTTGAGACTCCTAAGTAGTGTGTATCCACCATCCCTCCCCGTGGGATTCAAGCCCAGGATCTTCGGTATCGTGCGTACTCCTAATCTTTAAACCACTGAGCCGTCATTCTAAGGTGTTAGTGTCTAATTTCAACCACTACTGAGGGGTTTCATACTAGGAAGAAATGGCCGTTTAGAGCTTCCAGGTTTGCCATGGTGGTCTAGCCTCAACTTACCCATGGATTCAACTACTAAATTACCATAATATTTACAAAACCCTTCTCTGGAATATATTAACTGATATCGTTGTAGCTTACTTAGAATGGCAATTAATTAAAATAAGTTATCAGTAGATAAACAGTATTTGACATTATTCTAATTAATTATTTCGAATTTGTAGTTGATTTCGTCAACAATTTTCAAAAAGGGGTTCGACGAACATAACTATATGTTCTCTACATTGACAAAGCATCCTCATCCCAATGTTTAGGTTGGTATTTAATTTTATCTCTATGTAATCGACATGATCTAATTACTAAATATTCACAATAGTCAATGGAATTATTTATTTATTAACGTTTTTTTTAAACTGTAGAAAGCTACTTCGTATACAGTTATAAAGACTAATTAAAGCAGTGAGACCATAATTTATGGACGACCTTTGAACGATGCTAAAGTGACCTTGAGAGTGTCTACCTACTTACTAGGGCTAAATGAGGGTTATAAAGCAGTTTAAGGAATAAGGATTAGGATTTTGCAGTTGATGGTTAGGGTTAAGAATTAGATTTAAGGAGTTCTCATCACGAACTGGCATCGACTACAATGCCAAGACTCTATATAGCCAAATGGATGAATGAATTTTGCGCCAATATCTCAGACCTGTTACCATAGATCTGAGTGGTTCGTCCATTAATTATAGTTTCACCATCAAAGGTTTTTATTGAACATATCTGAGTATTTCACTAACCATTCACAATTAATTATTTCAATGGTTCAAATCCTTAATTATAAATAGGTCATTTTTGTTTGATCCGATAAAGTTTGTCTGAAAATACCTCACATGATTCACAATTAGACAGTCTCATTCAATAAACACGAGGTCCATCAATTCATAATTCAAAAAAATTATACAGACACTTTGGGAAATTAAACTGTACTTTTAGAGAATAAAACATAATTTTTTTTGAACATTATAATACTAAATTGTTTTTTACCTACTAGGAGATTTTTGCAACTATGGATAACAAATACGTTGCCTAATAACTTTGTAAGTAGATCCAGTGTGAAACAATTGTCTTATATTTACTGATCTTCATAGGCTTCGTAACAAATTCAAATTCTAAGGAAAATTAGCTGTTCATTAGACTGATCGCCTGAAAATATCCTAATTGAATTATTGATTTCAAATTGTAGATATGGTTTTGATCTGAGATCATTTTCAAGTAGGCTGACATTAGCAACAAGACAGTTGAACGGAACATAATAACTTATTTATGACAATCAATAATGAGTTTCTTACAAATACGAAATAACTTATGGAAAAAAGTAGTTTTCATCCTATTTATCTATTTATCTATTATCATTTTTACTTCTCAATATGCAAAATGAATTAGATTAGATAGTGGTTGGAGGTAGTAAATAAGAAACCCTGAACCTAGGTTTTGTGCTACCTGACACTCGTCAGCAAGGTGTACCAGTAATCTTGAGGAGAATTGATGTTCTCTGACGGACTCGATCCTGTCACCTTAACTGTCGGTCACATTGCAACTTGGTCGATAGGATTCGATCTGAACTAAGAAATACTTTACATTGATCACCACCCAGTGATTAATCAATTGTAAATGAATTAGATTAATCTGAATTAACTGGTTTGAAAAAAAAGAAAATATTCATCTCTCTATAAAAAATGTTAATACAATTATTAACAACGTAAAAATGAATCTGTTTGGCAAAAAAAAACAAAAAAAATTTTCAAGCCAAATAGGGAATATTTTTGAAATTTTCTTCTTTCTAAAAAAAAAATAAAAATAATAAATTTTTTATTTGTATTAATCAAATACTTAATTTTCATCGTTTCATTTTCAATTTAATTCGATTTGCCAATATTTTTTTCTTTCTTTTTCTTTTCTTCTTTATTTCTTTTCATTTCTATTCAAATAAGCTTGAATCCTTGTAATTTGTGTGTATGTCTTTCGTAGAATTTGTGTTTTTCTTTCTTTTTCATTTTTTCTCCTCGTTTTTTTCTCTTTGTTTTTTCAAAATGCATTTATGATGTTTGTTATTTATTGGTGAAATTCACGTGTTACTTATTGTCTGAAAATAACAGGTTTACAATATTAATTTTTTTTTCTTTTTGAGTTCACTAGTCATTAGTAAACATAAAGAACATTGTTTTTCTTTTTACAATTTAATGATTCTGTTAAAAATCTAAATACTGTTTTAATAATAAAAAAATTGTTATTGAAAAACGTTCGAAATCTTATTTTTTTTGTTGAAAATTTTTAATTTCAACAGTTGAGATAATGAGTCAGTTTAAGCTAGACCATCAGGAGGAACCTAGAAGCCTTGAAAATCCGCTTTTTCCTCCTGGGGTACTCCTCCTTGGCAGTGCGCATCCACGACTCAGCCTCGCGGGATTCGAACCCAGAACCTATCAGTCTCGCGCCAGGCGCTTAACCAACTAGACCACTGAGCTGGCCGGTTTCCAATGGTTTTAATGTCTAAATTCAAATAATCCACGAAATTGAGTGACACATCCATCATTGTCATCAGTGGAGTTACTATCTCACAACTGATCCGGTTGAACTTCACTAGTCACTGCTTCTTAATAGAAATCCAGGATATACCACTTGAAGTCAGTCACTAGTGAGCATATGTTGATTAGTATCAGAAGGGGTTTTGTGGAGATTGTAGTAATTTAAGCAGTTGGTGCGTAATTGATGCGCAATACTCAGGAGTCCCACAATAGGACGAAATGGTCGACCAGTGTTTCCAGGTTTTCCATGGTGATCTACCTTCAACTGACTCATGATTTCAATTGTTGAAATTACTGCAGTCTCCACAAAACCCCTTCTGATACAAGCTTTTAAATGTTTAGATTAGAAAAACAACTGAACATGAAATTCTTATAGTATAGATTATTGTACCTTAATTTTCTATGATGATATAATAATAATAGTAGTAGTTCTTTCGTTATACAGACTGCAATCGGTCAGTCCTTTTTGGTATATATCTAACTAGAACGAATCGCTCCAGTATTGCTATCAGTATTAAGTATTTTTTTAAGCAGAAATGGATAGTGGTTAGTATCGGAATCTATAATTCTGGTTTTGTCTTGTTTGAGACTCATCAGCTAAATATGCTTATATCTCAATGTCGACTTTCAATCAGAGACCTGAACCCAGTGTGTTGTGCTTCAAACTAACTTGCTATCCAGAGTTCAGATAGTTATTCATTGTAAAATATATCAGCTGAACAACTATTTTAAGGTTAACTTTTCTTAATCGTACTAAATTTTTTTTACTAATCATCAGCAGATGTCAGTAAAAACAAGTTAATTAAATATATTTTGATCACTGGGTCATATTAGTCTCCAGAGAGTGAGTAAAATGGGTCCCTAGAATCGCCTTTGTTTTTTAAATTGCATTATGAGAATCTCATGGTTTTCTGTAATAGTACCGGTTTTTCGTGATCATAACACTTTTTTATAGAGTGATATTTTATCTTTGAGATGAGAAAGGGTTACTTTATTTGTTAGTTTTGGTGACTTCGTTTTTTTGACCATGATGGAACGTATTCTTGAGCTTGTAATATGGAAATCAACTCAGTTTTTTTTTTTTTTTGGTTTTCAAACAATTCCAATATTATATGATCTTAGATGTATATCAATTTTATACTGCTGAGAAGAATGTGAAATCTGGTTATGAATCTTGCTATAAAAAGTGATAGATAGTCAACATATATGTTTATATGTTATTTTTTCAATTACATTACCAAAGTCAGTAGTGATAATTATTACAACATGCGTTTTGACTAGATTTCATCCTAAGCAATATATATAGGGTAAGCAATACTTTAAACTATATATGTAAAGATGATGTGATTTGTTTCAGCAATAATAAAGTATTATTGTTATGCATGTAAACAATTATTCTTTGGTATTTAACTTGATTTGTTTATTGCATTAATTATTATTATTTTAAAATAACAAACATAATTTTTAACTACACAGATGAACGTGATCATATTCAAAAATGTTTGTTTACCAACTGGATTAATGCTCAATTAGATGGAGTTTTTTCATCGGAATTTCTTACTTATTTATCTTATCCAAATAATTTACATAATAGTTGGGCATATCATAATTCAATGAATAGATTACCACATTCACCATCATGGGAAACATCACCATCTACACATAGATCATATACTACTGGACATACTTATTTAGTTAAAGAATTATATAATGATTTACGTGATGGAAGAATTTTACTTCGTTTATTAGAATTACTATCAGGAAGACAATTTGTAAGTTTCAATAAAAATATCAATACATTTTTATCAAATATTTCTTTTTCTTTTTTTTTCTTGGCTATGACACATCATTGTATTTTTCTTTTATAAAAAGAATTATCTACGAATTCTTCATTCAAACAAGCATGATATTCACCATAGCAACAAAAATATCGTTTGAATATTGTCTTAAAATTACATATAAAAAAAGGAAGGATCATTTTGATATGATAATGATGATGATGATGATGATGTGAGAATTCAGATCATTGATTACTGAAATAACGATGGATAGATAACAGTTATTGATTAATTTGTGTAATATTGTCGAATAAAAAAAAGTGCTGAAAAAAATTGATTTGAAGAGAATTATGAAATATTTGGAATAAATAAAAACTTTCATCTAAATTTGACCGAATAGTTTCATAATATTTTTGGTGCCGAATTAATGTGAGACATTGAAGTAGAATGTTGTATTTGTAAAATCTCAGCGAAAGAATTTGAATTTAATCCAACGTTTCGCCTGGCAATCTGATCTAAGCTCCAGTTTACTATATAGTGAATAAGTCATCCATTTAACGTGAACAATGTTTAAAGTAGGTATTTACATTAGTGTGTAAGAGATATGTGGTGTGAAAACGAAAAGTGTTAAAATAACAGATTGTGTATCTACGTAAGTGATGTGAAAAGAAATTTCATTCAATTATATATATTTGGTATTGTTTGGCTTGTATCCTCCCATTGAGATTTAAGGCTGCAATTGATCAGTCTGTTATTGGCACATGTGCATACTGTGCGTATGTACCGATATTGCCTAAATTCACAAGCTTTTTGTAGTGTAAGCAATGATGGATAGTGGCTATCAGTGGAATCCAGGACGCGCGTTTTCGTCCTATTTGGGACTCGTCAGCTGGATGTACATATCAGGATTCAGTAGCTGAATGGATAACCCGATGGCGTTTGAAGCGAATGATACTGAGTTCGAGTCCCAGAGTGAACATCAACTCCGAGATGCAGGTACATCCAGCATTCTACTGCTAGCATCCCACTATCCATCATTACTTACAAACAGCTTGTCAATTAAGGGAAATATCGAGGCATACGCACAGCATGCACATATGCTAATAACAGACTGATCAATTGCAGTCTTAAAACCTAAATGGGAAGATACAAGTAAACAATACCAAGTGAATATAGCTTCACCCTATTGCACAAGCAAGTGGCTGTCAGCATTCAGTAGCGAAGTAGATAACGCAATGGCGTTTGAAGCGAATGGTACTGGGTTCGAGTTCATCCCAGAGTGAACATCAACTCTGAGATGCAGGTACATCCAGCTGACAATTTCCAAATAGGACGAAACGCACGTCCTGAATTCCACTGCTAGCCACTTTTCATCATGGCTTACACTACAAAAAACTATATATATATATATATATATATATATATATATATATATATATATATATTGTCTTCGGTATGTGTATATTAAGAAAACATATCATTTTATATATGATATGAATAAAAAATGTCACAGTATGCATTAAATGAAGATAAATAAACAGGATAAGTAAACAAGATACAGTATACAGTAAACTGGAGAACCATGTACCTATTTATATTCGATAATTTTGTTGTTTGATTATATCATAAGAATCATTTGAAATTAACTGAATTAGGTCTATTGAAATTGTGATTTAAATGTCGTTATCATTTAGCAGGACTTAATTCAATAATTTCAATTTGTTCGTAGGAAATCAATATTCAAGTTGTAATTATTTTCGAAAACACTTCTTGTAAAAAGATCCAAGACCCAACTGATAGATAAGCTGTAATAATTGTTAGTTTTTTGTTGTTGTTGTTGACAGAAACAAGTTGAATGTACATAAGAAGATAATTAAGTTGACTTTTATTTTTTAAAACTTTTGACAGTCACTATACTTTGGATTACAGTCAGATCCTCTGAGGCTTATGTATAGCTGTATGAAAGTATTTGAGCTATATGGTTATGAACCATCATTATATTGTCCCTTACGAAACAATAAAGTCTAATATATATATATATATATATATATATATATATATATATATACATATATATATATATATATATATATATATATATATATATATATATATAGGCGATTCGTAGTTTTAAGAGGTAAGAAATGTAGTGAATAGAACATGGGTGGGGAACAATCGAATGAGTTTGATACCAAATTACAGGACATGTTAATAAAATCTAACAATCATAAAGTAAATGCTCAATTTGCAAAATGTCCATCAATTGTCTCAGAATGACTCAGACTTCATTGTTCTTGCATTTCTATACAAATTGCATTCTGTTTCCATTCTTTACTATTCGATCCTCTTGGCTCTCTGATGCCAGACATTCTGTTCATGTCCAACGTCATATACTACTTATTTCTACATAAGTAGCACACACCACAGTAACACTTGAAAACAGATCAACATATAATAAAATGAAGAAAATCTAAACAAAGCAGTCATTTTGGAATCTAAATATATGAATGAAACCTGTAAAAATCTTACTAATCTATTACAAAATTATCTATAGTAAATGACATTGACAGGGAATAGAAGTTATTATTTCGTTTAGGTATGTATGAAAATGAAATGTAACATTCCTAATTAGCTGGTGGTGTATAAAATTCAATCAAGATTTACTTCATTCAATAGTTGTATAAGGTTTCTTTATGCGTATATAAAGACAAGGTTTCAGTTTGGCATAATAATAGATTATGATATCCCCCTAAAAGTGTTTAAACTTCTCCAATATTGAACTATTAGTCATCTAAATGGTAAATGTTTTGTTGTTAAGAAATTTGAAAATGAATTTACTAATAATAATAATCTTTGATTCTCTGGTAAATCTACAGAAAGACAAAAGAAATCTACACACTGAACTTTGACTTGTATAAGTTATTACAGTAGATCTTAAAACGTTAAGTAAATATTTAACTGTGCACAGGGTTTTGGACATGGAATGTAAGTATGATGGTAGCACACCAATTACTGCTTTTGAAGGTCAATACATGTATATAGACATAATTTTAATTAACCAGGTCTGTTGTGAAATGTTAACTCACTGAAGACAATCATGTAAGGTGGCGCATTTTTTGTGGATTGGTTAAAGTTAGACATTACCACTATTGAATGCCGGCTTAGTGGGCTAGTTTGTTAAGCGCCTAGCGCGAGACTGATAGTTCCTGGGTTCGAATCTCACGGGGGGGGTGGCGAGATTTGGGATAAGCACTGCTGAGGAGTCTTATACTAGGACGAAACGGCTGTCCAATGCTTCTAGGTTTTCTATGGTGGTCCAGCTTCAAATGACTCATGATTTCAACCAGTATAATTTTAATTGTATCACATAAGGATTAAGATATCTAAGATATTTTTATACAGTTAGATTTCATTTTGATATGATTAAAATGAAAGTAATAATAAACATTTATTCAATTCCTATTGCTTTTTATCAACCTTTTAATTAGTTAAACTCTTACGTAGTTAGAGATTATAATATAAGTAGGCTGAATTCATGTTTTTATAAGAAATAGATACACTCAGTTATACAATATATTAATCTTTTTCACTTTATTATTGAATTATACTTATTAAAACAATTATTCTGAGTTTATTTCATAATTAATTAATCTAATTAGATTGACAGTGAAAATGAGATATAACTCAAAATGATAATATCTAGAGATTTATTAGTCTATTTGAGTAGATAGAATAAGGGAAGGAAACTAATTATTGTACCGAATGATATCTTCAAATAATGTTATTAAACTATTTATTTAAAAGTAAATTATTTAATTGTATGAATAAAAGCTTTGATCATTGAATGGAAGGAGTATTTTATTAAGCTTATCCAGTTATATAATTATATAATATATTCTAGTGGGCCAGGGTAATTTTACATTGGTTTTTAGGAGAACCAGACACCATCCAGACTTTCACGTGACAACCCAAACAATACAGCTTAATCCTGTTTAACAGGCCTAAATTTTATAATCCAAGCAGTACAGCTCAATTTCGCCTCATAGGAGATTCAAACACCATATAGGCTTTTACGCTACAATCTGAATTTGTACAGCTCAATCCTGTGGCGTAACCACACAGGTACAAAGTACCCTGGTGAACCATTCGCATTATTTATATACACATTCACACCACATGTATAGTTATTCCGATCAGTGATCACGAGAATCAATTGTGCATAGCACCAACAGGCCAAAGTTGACCTATTTCGCTTACACAACAATCAAATTCATTAATGTTAGCAATGGCGACAAGCCTTACAATGTCCCAATAACAATGGCCCTTCAGAACACTGTAAAGCGACCACTAGTATGACTAAAATCAGTTAACCAGGAAATTAATTTTGTTCATGAACAGTCAGCAAAACTTGCTAAAGCATTGTCGAACCATCCATAATACCAATGACGAACCTCTAGCCTCATATGAGAACTTCACCCTACATAGCCACACAGCCATTAAGCTTATACAATATTATATATCTATACCATATCTGTTGACATATTTCCAACTGTCAAATAAATACAATTTTTCTAAGTGTATGAAAAGATGAGATTGTCAATTCTATGTATGCGAATACATAAATACCTGAAGTATGAAAAATCAAAACAAAATAAAGTATCACAATAAAAAATTTAAATGAATGGCTTATGAACTTGTCAAATCAAAAAATAAAACAAAATAGAAAATGTATATAAAAAAAAATAAAAGTCATTCAATCTGTTGAAACCCATTTATATTAAGTAGATTTACTAATTGTACATTTAATTGATTGGTTTTATTAGATATTTATTTTTTTATAAATTGATTTACACAATTTATCAAAATGACTTTAAGCATCATTACAATTTATATATATAAAAAGAAAAAAAAACAAAATTTGTTGCTATGTTATTCTACTTGAAGTTTGTATTGATAATATTATTCAGTAGAATGATGAAAGCTTCAAAACTAAACCATTTAACTTAAAGAATAAAACTTCAGCTAAGCTACAAATCTTTTTTATCATATTCAATAGTTACAAAATACAAAACATTGTTTCTAGGCTAAACTAAACAAATTCAACTGTGTGAATGAATAAAATTTTGATATGAAGAAGTTGAAAATCTTAAACTATTTCTTTCTGGATATATGTGAATTCATAAAACATTAATGTTGTAGATTATTTCTTTTAACTAACAATCAATGACTATTTGAAATAAAGCTAATTGATAGGATTTTAACAAGTGAATAATAAAAAAGATTTATCAACAATAATTTGAATAATAAGCAAAGATGGATAGTGACTAGTAGTGAAATCCAGTTTGATGCGCGTTTTGTCCTATTTGGGACTCGTCAGCTAGATGTGTCTGCATCTCAGCTACTGAGTGGATAACGCAATGGCGTTTGAAGCGGATGGTACAGGGTTCGAGTCCCAGAGTGAACATCAACTGTGAGATGCAGGTACATCCAGCTGAATAGTCCCAAATAGGACGAAACGCGCGTCAAACTGGATTCCACTACTAGCCACTATCCATCTTTGCTTATAATGCTTGTAAATTAAGGCAATATCGAGACAATACGCACAGTATGCACATATGCCATTAAGAGACTGATGAATTTCAGTCCTAAACACCAATGCGAAGATTCAAGTAAAACAATACAAAGTGTTAAACAAATAGTTTTCATTAAATGGATCGTAAGTTTTGTTTATTACATGAAGTTTTGATAAAACAATGAGAAGATGGAGTTGATCTAAAAATTGTGATGTATTAGCGCTATACATTTCGAACAATCTGGTTACATATATACTTGTCAGGGAATTTTTATATGAAAATTACATAAAGTAAGAAAGATAAGTTCAGCAAAGAGTTCTCTTTTCGGCGAATTCATTTTCAAAGCTGTACAATAGCAAATATATATACTTATTTTTACAGGATGATAATAGTACTGATAATAAACTTGTTATACATGGTGACAGTGAGGTTAAATAATATTTATCAAAACATAGATAGGGAAATTATTATTGGGAAAGGATGGCTCAGCATGATAAAAAAAAAATGTTGAAATTGTGATTAAATGTAATCAGGAGGATCGTAGAAACAGAAATAAACCAGTTGGGGGTAAAAGATTTAATAGGAAGGTGGAAGGTGAAGCAGATGGCTGTAAAGGAACAACAGAAAAATTTTAATACATTAAGACCAAGGTAGAAGAAGAGGTTGTACCAGTCTTTTTTGCATACATAACTCTGGTTTTTCCATATATTATTATCAGATGTCACCAAATTCTCTAAACCAATCAATGAGAAAAACAAGACTGAAAGTATAGAAAAGCAACTGATTAATGTTCTTAAGAGAATGAAAAATGAGCAGTTAATCGACGAACAGGTCTTTCAGCGCATAAAACCAACAGCATCATTAATATCACGATTATACGGTCTGCCAAAAATGTACAAACCTGACTTACCTCTTAGACCAATTCTTGATATGTCAGGATCCCCTTACCATTCTATAGCAAGTAAAAAAATGTAACAAAGGGGAGAGAAACAGTTTTACATCGTATTGAAAAAATAATAAATCGTTGCGTTATCCTAGGCCATAGAATGACTTAAGGATTACGAAGGTTAATTCAAGCTTACGACAAATTGTTTTTGTACACATATGTGCAGTTTAAATTTAAGAATAGCTAAGGCTTTAATAAACTTAAGAATTCATCCTTAACAATTTCTATACAACGTTTTAAAAGCAGTATTAATGTTAATTTTGTGCCCCATTTCAATTATATGTCTCTCTATCGATGAACCTGGTTTTCTACCCCCCACGTTGATCGGATCATTTGACAAACATTAATTTTGAAGTCATCTATGAAGACTTGGAAGAAGATTTGAGACCATGATAACCAGTAAAAACTAATGAGTTAATGAAAATACTAGACATATGGAGTTTTTTATGCTGATAGAAAATCGACTGACCGTCCAGTTTATCTGTGATTAGTTGAATTTAAAGAACTCTTTTAACTACGCAATATTAGTGAAACCTTTACTGACTATCCAGTTGAAATGTCTAATTTCAGGGAAATATATGTGCTGTCACTAATAAAAAAGTATTTGAAAAAGAAAAAAAATTAGTTAATCTCATATTTTACTTTAATTCACTAATGTCAGTTCACCTGTTTATTGTATAGACTACATATATTATCAAAAAATGGGAGTCTGATATTCTTGTAGTCTACAGATAATGATTCACTCAAGTGAGAATTATTGAGTTATAGTTCCTTGAAAAGGAGCTTAGCAACATCGTTATGGGAATTATATATTTTCGGTGAAGTTGAATCCAAAGCAGTGTATGAGATGTGTGTTTCTTTCCTCATAATGTGCAATGCCTTACTGTTTTTTTTTCCCAAATATCTAACCAACCCCAATTAAATAATTACGGTTTCATTTGATTTTTATCATGGGTTTGTTAAATGCTTCCTTGAACGCTAACCAATTACTGAAGTCGAAAATGTGGTACTATTTCTTCTAGTCAGCTAATATATGATGAGGAATACCTTTTTGACTTATTGTGTCATATACTGAGGTTTTAACTGTACAGATAACGATAATCTAAACTTTAGCGGTAAATACAGTTGAAAATCGTGTATTTCGTACCTGAGAAACAAAACTGGTAATTTTACAGTAATTCACTTTCTATTGCAGGCAAGAATTAATCATAGCAGAATGCGAATCCATCAATTGGAGAACATCAATAAGGCACTTGATTTTCTTTACGAAGAAGGAGCACATCTTGAAAATGTCGGTGCACAAGATATTGTCGATGGTAACCCAAGACTTACATTAGGTTTAATATGGACAATTATATTACATTACCAGGCAAGTCAATTTTGAACAACTGTATGTTTATATCATTATGAAATGTTGAATCGCATTAATTGTTTAGGTAGTGTGTTGCATTCCACCATCTTAAATAATTTTTGTGTTGTCAGTAAGGAGAATTATCGGCAAATCCGATAACATATCTTTTTTATGGATATAATTTACTTATATATCTGCCTGATATGTTGGGCAGGAACAAAGTTGAGGGGTCAGGTCTTATTCCATTGTTAAGTGAGTGGTTGATTAACTGATATCTTTCAATTGTTTATGGGATTTAATTGCGCGGATTTTCGCTTCTGAAATCCGTTGTTGTCTTGTGGATGTTTTATCCTGCGTTTTTGTTAGTTTATAAATCACGTGAGTAGTTATCACTTAGTCACTTGGTACGATTAAATATTGTCTATTTTAATCTACAATAAAATTCGAAATATAGCCATCATCATCTTGAATATTGATTTTCTTGAAAGATTTTGGCACACCAATGATCAAGTGAGTTACAGGATAATGGATTGCTAGAATTACAATGCCGTTTTAGGTAAATTTTCTAGCTCCCAATGTATTAGCTTGAAAACGTGCAATTTAAGAAAAAGAAAAATGAAAATTGATTCCTATTAATCAATCTCAGCAAAAGTAAAACAGAATTAAAGGACAAAGAAATCTTTACATTGACTATTTTCTGAAATTAAAGTACATCTGTTTTTTCAATCAGTTAAACGAATAAATATTTTTTTTTATGGAACAAAGAAGAAGTCTACACATTTAGTAAGAGAATATCTACAAATGCACAGTGATTGAATGACAACTCTTCATATTTCAGTGTATGTTCTACATCGAAGCATTTAGATTACCTGAGAAGATATGAATTTAAACAGCATTATTAAGATTTTGCATTAAGTCTGGAGAGAATGAACCTTTTCATTGAAATTATTTTCAAGTTACAATATCTAAAATCTTATTTCAATGACTGAAATATCTGAACAATATACAGATAATTTATAGTTTTGACAGTAACGTCTAAACGGTAAATTCCTTATTATAACATAGTTGTCTTTTGTAAATTAAATTGAATAATAACCGAGAAGAAAAAAACAAACAATAATTGTCGAATGTCATATTTCTGACTGATGTCAAACGATTACTATTATTGTAGTTTTTATATGGAGCTTATTTGAAATAGTACCGTGGTTCAAAAATGAAAAAAAAAGAAATATAATTATCTGCAGCTGGTATTTATTTGGCATGTTTACATATTCACACATAAAATTATTCATCAAATAAACAAAGATGGTAAGTGGCTAGCAGTGTTTCGTCTTATTTGGTACTCGTCAGATGGATTTCTCAAATAGAACGAAACATGTATCCCGGATTACACTACTAACCATTATCCATCTTTACTTATAATGCTTATGAATTAAGGCAATATCGAGGCAGTACACCCAGTATGCACATATGTAAATAAAAATATTGATCAGTTGCAATACTATTCATCAATGGGAAGTTTCAAGTAAACTATAGTGAACAGAACACGAGTGGGGACAATCGAATGTATTTAGCAACAAATTACAGAACTAGTTAATAAAATCTAACAACTATATATTAAATACTCAATCTGCAAAATGTCCATCAATTTTCTCAAATGACTCAGAATTCCTTTGTTCTTGCAGTTTCATATAAATTGCATTCTGTCTTCATTCTTTACTGTTCGATCATCTCGTCTCTCTGCTGCCAGACATTTTCTTCACGAATAACATCACATACTACTTATGTCTACACAAGTAGCACACACCACAAACAATATCAAGTGAATTTATTTATCTTATAGCTATAAATAAGTATGGTAAGATTCATGAAAAAAAACTATAAGCAAAAATTTATGTGGTACACTATATTCAACAATCTACTTCTTTATTTTTCTATCTATCTCATATAATCTATTATTATTATTATTATTATTATTATTATGAATAACTTTCATTCTGGGATTTATTCTAAACTGTATAGGTTCAGGATATTGTTTTCAAAGAATCAGATGAAACTGGTGAAGTTAGACATGCAAGAGATGCTTTACTTCTTTGGTGTCAGCTTAAAACAGCTGGATATCCTCAGGTAATAAACATTGGAGTATTATTGTAATCATTAGTTAATTCATAAATATAATTAAAGTATTTTTATAACTAAAGTTTAATTAAAAAATGTTATGTGTTACAAGTAAATGGTACTTAGTTTAATTAGGTATTTCTTTTCTATTCAAATCATGCACAAATAAGTTTTTTTTTTGTTGGTATGATGGAACACTAGGTATCTCAAATAATGTCTGAATAATCACATCAATCAGTATTATACGTTATTACAAAGTTACTTGTCATTCCTTATAGTGAGAATAAAAATGTTCTGGCGTCGAAGCCATAAATGAAATAGTAACAGTGTATGTAGTTACTGGTTTTGAAGGCTGATGGTTATTAGAATTTAACACCATGCTCAAAAAAAAAGAGATTCATGTAGAATTGAGATATCCTATATAGTAAATGAATAATATCTTCCTTTACCACTCAATGGAACATATAACTTCTCAGTAACTGTTTTTCTCTTCGTGTTGGTGTTCGTATAGCCAGAATTAAATATGTCAGTTTAATATATTCCTTCTGAACTATATTTTGTATACTTATTTCGTTATCTTTGTTCTCATTAGTTCAACTTCTTTCATTTTACTTTTGTTAATGTTTTCTTATGCTGTCGTTGTTTAGTATGAGAACAGGAAGTGAATCATAACCGTATTGTTATTTTTATTGTTCATGATTAAATGAAAGTTACTCCTGGATTTAAAGCTTACAAAAGTAACTCAATTTCGCATACACGAATATCATAAGCTTGATTAACAATACTGTACTATCAAGTCATATTGTGGAACAATATTTCTATAAAACTACTTGTGACCTACTTAAAATAATGTTTATCAGCAAATGAATTTCAAATGTTTTCAAGTTTTGATTGATACGCTGACAGACATGTGTTAGCTCTGTGATGAGGATTTCCAAATTAATCCTACAGTTTTCAAGATATGGCTAAAGAAGGCGTTACCTGTTGTAACAAAAAGTATCACTCTTTGAAGTGTTTATGAAAAGTCAGTTAGACGTTGTTCGTTTAGTGCGCAAGAATATTTTTTATATGCCTGAGCAACTTAATCATCCCAATATGACAGAAAATAAAACTGACATCTAAAATATAACATCGTTAATAATTAATTCGAAGATGATGATTGAGTAGCTTTCACTTCTCTGTACGGTTAGAAGAATAAACCTAATTGGTCTATGATCATATAAGAACTTACATACTCTAGGGCTTACTGTAGTGACAGTTCTTTGAAGTTTAGTCAGCCGTCAACTATAATTTTGTAAGGAAGATGTAGCTACTTATTTACAGTATTCCATTTCTGAGTTAACATATACTGTTCAGTATAAAAAATTATTAAAAATTTAGTTAATTTAATTGTTTGCATCTTTTACGAGATGTCCTAAAACCTTTTTCAATTACCGCTTGGTAGAGTAGTTCGATTCATGGGTCTTGGCTGCTGTTATTAGAATCGAAAATGTTCAAGGTTCCAGGCTTGTACTGTTCGGAAAGAGTGTTTGTGGGTGTATTTATCTTATTTTTAGCATTGTTTACAGTCTTTTGTATACGTCTTTGTAATATATTTTAAAAAAACAATTGATTCCTCAATTTTTAAGGTTGAGGTGGTTGATTTTACAAAAAGTTGGCGAGACAGTTTAGCATTTGCAGCTTTACTACATCGACATTATCCAGATTTGATTGATTATGAACGAATACGTCATATTGATAGTTTACAAGTGCGGTTAGAAATTATCTTTCAACGAGCATATCTACATTTAGGCATACCAATACTAATCGAATCAAAAGATTTCACGCAAACATGTTGGCTAGAAGAACGTTGTGTAATGACTGTTGTTGCGACTTGGTATCGTTATTTAACCAGTTCACATAATACAAAATTATCATCGGAACGTGTTAGTAAAGTGATTCAGCACAGTTTAATTATAAGTCAGAAAATATTTGATTACACTAAACAAGCAAAACGATGGCTTAAATGGTCCAATGTAAATATAAAGCAAATTAATCAGTTGCTAATTAAGCTACAAGAATCGAATCAAATTAGAAATGAATTAGATGTAAAGCAAGAATTACAGAATTTAATGATTTGGCGCCGAAAGGAAAAAGCGGAAAAAATGTCTGAACTAGTTCAATTAGAAGTGAGTGCATTGTTTGTTTTTAACTTAAATATAAGTTTTTAATTCAGTACTTAAGGTTTAAAAAACATTGTCTGACCTTTTTGTCTAATAAGTACAAACAGGCTTTGTTTACTTCATACACAGACTTCATTTTCAAGGTGCAAAACGTTGAATATTATTCCCCTATTCAAGAGTTGTTATTGTTTACTATTGGTTCAAAAGAGGTTAACTGGTATTTTATGTACCCAGTTAATACCCATTTGTCTACTGTGACTGGATACTCTAACGAAGACCTACTTAACTATTTTCAGTAAGCACCTCAATTTTAACATTTAAAACCCTACGAAGCTCCGCCACTTTATGAAACTAAATTGTTTATGTAAGATTATAAATGGAATATTGGATAAAGAAAGTCAATATTCTAAATTGAATGATTCGTCACCATATCTTATTAAAAGCACTTTCTGCCTAAGAATAACAGTGAAATTTGTCGACAAAGCAAAAATGATAATAGAAACAGACGAATATGAATTCTCTTCATTTGATTAAGTGTGAGAAAGCATTCAGAATCTTTGGCCTGTAAGTCTTACGTTTGATCTCTTTGTAAAGGCTCATACTGGAACGAGAAAGCTCTATAGGGCTTCTTTGTTTTAAATAGTTGTCTATTTCCATATAATTCCTCTTGTAAACTATTTTCCATCAAATCATTTCTAATAATAAACCACATTACTTTCATCATATTAGAATTGAATTTTTAACCTTTTAAAATGGCATAAATGTTAATATCACTGAAATGTTGATTGTTTCATCAGTTGGAATCTCTCTCTCTCTCTTTCTCTCACTAGAACATTCAAATTTTCATCGTTTTTATTTTAACAAACAATCTTAATACTACTACTACTACTACTACTACTCCAACAATACGACGAAACAGCCGTCCAGTGCTTCCAAGTTTTCAATGGTGGTCTAACATCAATCGGTTCATGATCTCAATCAAAATTTAACAATCTCCACAACCCCTAAATTGTTAAATAAATAGTTTCATAGTAAATTGGAAATACTTATGATGAAGCAATTCATATCGGTTGATTGTTTGATGATGGCTGAAATAAATGAAACCAACTATTACTACTAATAATAATTATAATACCCAGTACTATATATTTAGCGTAGATTGATAACAAAAAACGTAATTTTTATTAGATCAACACTGATATAAGAGTCATTTGAATTCAGGAAGATGTTTTTATCCTATTCGTGTCTCGATCTGAATGTGACAGTTTAACAAAAAGTTCTGAAGGAAACATTTACATGCAGACAAACATTAGCATTGTTTGAATTAGAACAACGCATTTACGTGAATAATAGTGTATTCAATAAAATTTTCATTAGGCTTTGTTCTCACATACAGTGATATTTGTATGTGTACATGTGTTAGCGAATGCCATTCTTTTTATTTTTGAAAGTGAGCAGAATAAATCAATTTATATCTTCGTTTCATCACATTCTGTCGATGGTAGTCGTGTATCGAATGAAGCAAAAGCACTCAGAGTAATGTATCAAAACGCTCTAATTTTCACGAAATATGATGTTATTACCTATTTATAATGAAATACACAGTAAATTGGTGTTTACAACTCTAGTCTTTGTATTCAAAAATAATCTGTGGCACCCCTATCTCCTTCATGACGCGATAAGACATAATAGATGAATTAACCTTGTTTTGGATTTTTTTTTTTACCATGATGTTCATTTCTCCTTATTCATTATATATATATATATATATATATATATATATATATATATATATATATATATATATATATATATATATATATATATATATATATAGATAGATAGATAGATAGATAGATAGATAGATACTACTGTATATTAGAGTAAAATTTAATTGAAACAGTACTGTTTCTTAATACATGTTCTGACTTAAATAAAATAACCATTCGGATTGTTTTACAATCTTTTTTTTTCAAAAAAAAAAACAAAACAAACTTCAATAGACCCTGTTAACTGAAATTCATACTAGTCAGTTGGCTGAATCACATCGATTATTCAAACCGCCAAATGGTTTCAGTCTCAATGATTTAGAAGAATCTTGGCAATGTTTAATCACAGCTGAACATAATTGTCATTTGGCCATTGTAGATGAATTAATTCGCCGAGTAAGTTGAATTTAAATTCATTTTTAGTTTTAATGTATACAGATAGAATGAGCATAATTTGTAACCTTAAAACATATGAATCATAGACATATCCAAAGGTAAATATTATTTTGTATCACCAAATTTCTCTTATACAATTTTGTATTAATTAAGAAGATTTTGACGGTTATCAAATGAATGTACTGTAAACCATTCATTATGTATTAAATGTCAAGTTTCAAAATAGTAATGATTAAGCAGTTTACAAATCAAATAAATTTTCATCTTGATGTGAACGTATCAAAAATTTAAATCAGAAGGCGGATAATTTGATTCTTCTAATATCATAATATACATTAGCGAATTCATTATTAATTCTCAAGAAGATGTTTCCTTTCTTTTACATGAAAAATACCTTGGATACTATCATTAAAATAACAAAATGTTTCACAATTAATTGGTCACCACCCAGTGATCAATCAATTGTGACTACATCTCAGTCCTACAGGAGGTCGGTCGCGGACCGGATAGCTTAGTGGTAAAGTCTTTGACTGTGAAGCTAAGTGACACGGGATCGAATCCGCCACAGAGCACCAGTTCCTTCAAAGATTACAGGTACACCTTGCTGACGAGTGCCAAGTAGCACGAAACCCGGGTCCAGGGTTTCCTGTTGACTACCTCCAACCACCGTCTAATCTAACAAAATGTTTACCATTTTTACTGCTCAAAAGCTTACACAAATTTTTTCAATCTGCAATATGTTAAATGATATCAAAATGGATAGAAGTGAAAGGTCATTAACAAATTTAAATAATTACCAGAATTATAAATGTTACCTAGGACTGAACTACCACATGGCTTCTTTGCATTAAGATGGGACATTTTCTAAAAATATGATAATATATCCATTCTTACGAATGCTTGTAGAAAACTATGAATGTGTGCTTGATTGGAAGAATTTAAAATATGAGGATATTTAAAATTAATTAAAACTTAAATAAGCCAACAACTATACTGTAATATGCTCGATCCGTTAAACTACCAGGTTTTAAAAAAATGTTCGTAAAACAATCGCTATATTGTGGTTTATTAGTAACTGTACAAGTATTGTGTAGGCGCTTCCAAACATATACAAAGATTTTTCAATTTATCAGTTTTTTTTTGGGGGGGGAAGGGGAGATGAAGTCATAGTGGTTGAGCTGTTCGGCTTGTAGACATTAAATATACTCCTACAGTAGAGGAGTTATACGGCAGCTTAGTAAAATGAGAGATGATTAGTCTATGGTACAGTTTAATATATGTTGATGAACATCCAATCATTTACCTAGATAGCTTCTCATATGATATACTAGATTCTCAGTATCACTTTTAACACTAATCATAAAATTCAGTTATCGTGTTGACTGTCGCTGTTGGTATTTAGATAGTTCTATATTGTTTTATGGAATTTATTTTCAAAGCGTTTGAAGAAAGTAAATGAAACAGTTTCTGAAATCCATTTTGGATCGAGTTATAGTGTAGTGAACACGAACACCAATGGGGGACAATCGAATGTGTTTAACAACAAAATACAGAACTAGTTAATAAAATCTAACAACTGTATATTAAATGCTCAATTTGAAAAATGTCCATTAATTGTCTCAAAATGACTTAGACTTCATTGTCCTTACATTTTCATACAAATTGCAGTCTGTCTTCATTCTTGACTGTTCGATCTTCTTGTCTCTCTGCTGCCAGACATTCTGTTCACGAATAACATCATATACTACTTATGTCTACACAAGTAGCACACATCACAAGATTATTTAAAATTTAAGACAGTAAACCGATACAAGTAGATAGATGCAGTCAAATAATGACAGTGGAATATCAATAAAATATTATTGTTACTACTATATACATAAGATATCAGAGATAGCTTTCAATTTAAATTCATTTTCCTCCAATGTTACAAATTTTGGTCGATATCCTTTCATGGTTTTTGATCTGTTAACAAAACAGTTTGGTATGTATTCCGCAACTGAGACGACAATTTTTGGAATCGCATTTCTAAACTTCCTCATTTAATAATAGTTTTGTATAACGCAGAAGCTAGAAAGTACAATCTGAACAAATGAAATGCTACGGTGTTCCATAGATAACAATTCTTTTTGATAAACCGTAAGTAAAATACTTAACAAGAAGGGAATGACAAATCAAATTGTTAGTTATATGTAAGAGTCATAAAATAACAATATACTAACAATAAATAGATTTAGAATATTCTTTTTACTACATTCAGCAAGGTACATTTTAAGTAACAAGTTTAAAAAATCCTATGCATTAAAAATATCACTCACTTGATTAATTTTATTATCATCGATGAATTCAGCAGTAAGAACACGTTTACTAGTAAGTTTACGATCAACCCAAGGTACATGAACAGAGCCATTTTTATCTAAAGTTCCAAGATCTGATAAATCGGTAGAATATTGAATAAAGATGTTCGTATGTGGGTAAAGCAATGCTTACAGTGTCAACGATCAAAAGTGCACAGGCACGTAGCTGCCCCCATTGGCACGTTCGCTACGCCTGATACTTGCTTCGATCACGTTCATATAGACATTGTAGGACCATTGCCACCATCGCATGGGTATGATCACATACTCACGTGCATCGATCGTTTTACAAGATGGCCCGAAGCTATTCCCATCACGTCTATCACGGCGGAGACAGTTGCTCACCGTTTCGTAGAACGATGGATAGCACTGTACGGTTGTCCCTCGACTATCACGACTGACCGAAGACAACAATTCCAGTCCGCATTAATCTCCTCACTGACCCGGCTGCTTGGTACGGAACGCATACGCACTACCGCCTACCATCCACCATCGAATGGTTTAGTCGAACGGTTTCATCGCCAACCTAAAAGTACTCTCCGAGCACACGAAAAAGACAATTGGTACGAAACCTTACCGCTTGTTCTCTTGGGTATCAGAACGAGTTTGAAGGCAGATATTCAATGTTCCACCACTGAACTTGTATACGGCCCTTTAATACAAATTGCATTCTTTCTTCATTTTTTATTGTTCGATCTTCTCGTCTCTCTGCTGCCAAACATTACGTTTAAAACTCGCGTGATATACTACTTATGTCTACATAAGTAGCACACACCACAATATAACCAGGTAGAACCACTTAGTATTTCACTTTTTCATTTTAAAAATTCACTTCTTTCTTAAATACATTAGTCAATCACAGTATTAACACCTTTGGTTAGTCTGAAAATATCTTGGATAGTAGACTTGAAATTATATCAGCTAACTACATGGTGTTTTTAACCAGATTTCGAACAACGATAACTATGAGTTCGAAACAAATTCATAAACATTACTGCATCGTACAGATGAAGTTTTCAGTGAACAATGGTATTTTCATGATGACACTTATTATAATAGGAACCAAGGATATTCTCATAATTGGACAATAAAACGGTTAAGTAGCTCAATCATACTGTTAGAACTGAAGAATTTTATATCTCGTAATTTAAGGCTTGATAACTACTGGTAGTGTATATACCCGTTAAACTTTTGTCACGTAAAAAGGTCAAATATTATTAATCACACATCTTTACTTACAAACCAATCAAATTGTGTTGACTACTTCAAAATCAAAACCTGGAAACGAGATTGTTTAATGAAAGTCTTACTGAGATTCATGTTTGCTTCAACCGGTGGCCGAATAAACTGGTGGAATCTAAAAATTTTCATAGTTTTTCTGAAGATAAACAATCTCATAATAGAGTGAATCAGTTATTTGTCTTTGTTTTTTAAGTTGTAGTTGAACTGACATTAATAGAATAACAAAGATCACGTACAAGCAAACCTAACCGAAAATAAAATATCTAGGTTAAAATAATACGGTTTCGCGACAAACTATTTCTCTTAGAAACATATTTATTACTTTCTTGAACATTCTCAACAGAACGTACTCCATAACAGAGATGGAAGAGTCCCAAATGGAACGAAACGCTCGTCTTGGATTCCACTACTACCTATATTTCATCTATTCTATAAATTTATGACTTACTGTTGTATTTTGGTATCTCGTGATTGAATGTAGATTAAAAATGCTTGTGACTTAATGGAAATATCAAGACAATCTGCGCAGGATACACATATGCCTAATAGTGATTGATAGATTGTAATCCTAAATATTAATCAGTCAGTCAGTGACAACGTAGAACTTCGTACGTACGTACGTATATCAGTTCCAGTTACCATATCACATTAGCATACAGATACAGTTCTTTATTCAAATCCCATAGTGGTAGAGGTAGTGAAAGTATAAACAGTAATCGGAAAGATTATTATCATTATTATTAGTGGCTTTATTCAATATTATATTTTCAGTATAATATAGAATTGTCAGCACAAAGTATTTCAACAAGTTTCCCTTTCTTATTTCTTGATCAGTTCCTTGCGATAAATATTGAGTGGTCGCCAGTTAGATGTTAGCAGTTCAGGAATCGACATATGATAAATGTATATCCTTTTCGATGCATATTGCCAGTAACCATGATGTCTCTGATTGAGCTCTTTTGTAACTTGTACAGCGAAATGGGGTAAACTTTTCACAAACGCACCTGAATAGGTAATGAGACTAATAAGCATAATGATGTGTTAAAACAAACAAGAAAACAGATAACTTGTTGAAATATCTAGATGACAGGAACAGGTAGACCAGATATTCAAGCAGGCCGCCTTCTAGAGTGTGAAGATATTATTTAAGGAGTATAATCCAGTCAAATAAATTTGGAAAAAGAAAAAAGAAGGGATATGAAGAATTCAGAAGATTAAATTTTGAGAGAACACAAAAAAATGGATGCACCTGCGCACTTCAGTGCAAACGATTTTAAGCCTTGTCATTCAGCAACTTTAACCATCGATTTCTATCATCTCGCTGGTTCCAATCAGGGTAGTCTACACCTATCAACATGACTCAATCGATCTGTCAGTGACTTCATGAATTTGTGCCATGTTTTGGTCTGTCCGCCCCCACCCCCATCCTGCTAGCTTTCTTCTAACCTATTCCTATACCATTTCTCATTAATGATAAGTATCAAATAATCAATAACTATTTCATTCATGATCATTAAAAACAATTATCAATACTTTTTTATTTGTATGTTTTCTAATTCTAGGAAAATTTGAATATATTAGGTATAAAATATGAACGTAAAATTGAATTATGCTTGAATTGGTTACAAGATAATATACAAATGATTAATTTAGCAACACAAATGGATAATTTAAAATTTTTAGAACAAATGAATTCTATTGAATCATATTTTAATTATATAACTACTATGGAACAATCATTACAAGTAAATCAATTATATCCATTAAATAATTTAATGAATTATTATTATTATATTATATTATCACAACATAAACATTCAGCATTTATAAATGATAAAGAAACATATATTCATTTAAAATTACAAAAAATTAATGAATTATTATATATATTAACAATATCTATGGATAAATTACAATCGAATCAATATCAAAAACAATTTGATCATTTATTAATAATCAATAATAAATTACATATAAAATTATATAAACGTTTAAATAATTTAAAATTATGCCAAAAATGGTTAGATTATTTATTACAATTTAATAATCAATTTATAATCATCAATAATCAATTTAATCAATTAAATCAATTTATTAAAGAAAATAAAACAAATTCTATTGATATTTATATTAATCAATTACAATTAGATATAAATCAATTAATGATATGGATTAATTCAGTAAAAAATTTATTAAATATAATAAATAATTTTGAAAAGAAACATTCGAATGATCATGAGGATGATGATCTTGATCATGATCATGTTAATGATGTTGATGATGATGATGATCCTAATAATTTATCAAGATCATATTTACAAATAAATATTAAACATAGTTTAGATTATATACAATTGTATTATTCATCTGTTGAAAAGATTTTATTTGATATAAATCAATGGAATATCATAGTAAAAAATGTATATCAATTATCAAATGAAATAAATGAAGAATTATTATGGATAAAAGTTAGTTGATTATTAAAATGATAATGAACTTTTACTGGTGAGACTGTGACTAATAGACGACCTTTGAATGAATGTTAAATGAATTAGAGACATATTAGCTAATCAAGAAACAGTTAGTATAGAGTAAAATACATATTATATAAAATCAAATAAATAAAGTGGATACACTTCTTATACGTGGGTTCAAACACTTGCCAAGGTTAGAAAGAGGTTGAGAGGTTCTAAAATCTTAATGCATTCAGTAGAGGAAATCATTCATATGGCTAGAGAATAGTCGGCATCTGAAGCCATGATATACTCTCAAAAACTCTTTCAGCCTCGACCAAATAATTTCAATATTGTTTATGTGCACTCCGGTTGTTGAGTACACAAAATGCTACTTGTGGATAACGAAACGATGCACATAACCAAGCGTATGTGGGAGTCTGTATGCTCTCGAAATATCCGTCTATATTGTAGTACTAGTGTCACTGGTGCTTTTATTGTGCAGTTCGCAATAATTGTCATAATTTGTTTTAGTTAGGAATTATATATGGGGTTTCCATCACGAACTGACATCAGCTATATAGATTTGGCTAAATATTTAGCCGAATGGATGAAAGACTTTCGCACTGAAATCCGAGATCTGTTATCTTTTACCTGGTTGATTCGTCCACAAATTATAGTTTAGCCGTTTTATTTGTTATAGCCGCTCAATTATCATGTTTTGTACAAAATTCTTTGTGAACCGATCGTACGTTAGCATTAAGTATTGAAGCTTGCACCGTGACCTTGAAATCTTATAAACGCTTCTGATTGACTCGTCCATAAATTAGAGTCTCGCTCTTTTACTCATTGATATATATATATATATATATATATATATATATATATATATATATATATATATATAACAATTATATGAATGAAGAATATACTTCTCAATGAATTTCTCATTTCAGGTTCCACAATTTTGATGGAGTTTTGTTCTCTGAGCTAGATGGTTTGGTTGTGGAGCTTTTATCATTCTTCAACACAAACTTCAGATAGAAGTGAAGTGTTTGAATTTCTCCATATACGTTTTCAGATTGTTCTGTACACCTCGATGTTGATTGGTTCTTATTGACTTGTAAATTTGTCAAATCATCCACCTGAGCTACAAATTTTCTCCAACATCTTAAAGGTTCTAGAATTATAAATCCAAAACTATTAATCCATAAAATCGGTCAGATTTAAGGTAGAGTACATCATTTAAAATTGAAATATGTGAATCAAGAATACAAAATCAAATCAGCTACTCCTTTTACTTTGGTCAACTTTGGAGCGAACTAGTTAATAATCAATATTATGATATAGTGACGTAATTCCATTCATGTTCAATTTTATGTCTCAAATTTACCTTTTTATTATTATCTTTACCTTTGTTATTATCATCTTTATCAATGGTATTATTATTACACATGGTAACCTTTATGAGGAATTTATTCAATATCCACCCCTAAATCTACAATATCTGATCTAAGTCATATTATTCCACATATTACGTAATTTCTGATTTTTATTCCAATTATTTTCTCTCTCACCCCATGTTGACCAAATTTATTCTGATCATTTATTGCACAATTTCATTTTGCTTGTAAACTGATTCAAGTGAACACTTCATACTAGTCAGCTCCAACATTAACGATCTGTTTTGATTTGATATAACAAACAACAATCCTTGATTCACATATTATAATTTCCAAATGATGTACTCTACCTTAAATCTGACCGATTTTATGGATTATTAATTTGGATATAAGATAATTGTAGAACCCAGTTGTCATACCTAATTTGCACAACAAGATGAACACCGGAGTCATAGAAGTAGTTCATTCAGTGGTGATAATATATAAAAGAAAGATTGCATATAAGGACATAGTACAGGAAGAAAGAATTAGTTGATAGAAAGTAAGATATAAAGCAATTTTAATCTCAGAGTTTAAGGGAAGACAGAGAGTGTATACACCTACGCCATTGTGATCGATTCTGAGCCATCAAATATAGTCTATGAATATCTAGTTACATAGTTTGAAGTTAAACTATACACTGTGTTATATTTTCTTCTAAAAAACCATTCTCATAAACGTATGAATGTTGGTTAATGTGGATTTAAGGAAACGAACACATGAACAAACAATTTTCTTTTCAATAACTATCATTTATGTTCTACAGATATACATTCAAATTGTAAGATTAACCTAAACATCATGTCATCAAAGTTAATGATGGAGAGTAAACTTATGAAATGACAGCTATAGGATTCATATAAAACTTTACTAGATGAAAATTCTCACAACATACAAACTATCTTGTGGGATTTGTGTGACTTATGAAGCATTTGAAACATATAAACAAGATGGTAAATATTGACGGGACAATTGTAAACTTCATACAATGAATTTTTAAAGCTTGCTCTCAATGTTTTACAGAAATAAACCGGATTCGAGATCCAAATTTAAACTTCATCTCATTGTACAAGCAAGTGGCTAAGTGGACAACATGATGGCGATTGAAGCGAACGGTACTAGATTCAAATCCCAAGGTGAATATCAACTCTGAGACGCAGTTACATCCAGCTAACGAGTCCCGAATAGGAAGGAATGTGTGTTCTGGTTTTCACTATTAGCCACTATCCATCTTTACTTATAATGCTTGTGAATTAAGGCAATATCAAGGCATACGTACAGTATGCATATATGTCAATAAGAGACTGATCAATTACAGTTCTATTCATCAATCGAAAGATTTAAATAAATAATACCAAATGAAGTTCTAATATTTATTTAAATTATGTAAACTAGTAAAAAAATTCCTCATTTAAAAGTAATAAATGTACAATTCTTCTTTTCTTTCTTTATATATATTTAGGATCAAAATGATTCAATTAAACCTATTGAATTTATTAAAGAAGAACTTGTTGAAAATTTTAGTTATATCAGTATACAGACTCATCATTTACAAAGTAGATTACGTCTACTTAATAATGAACTTCAATTAAGATATGGAATACATTATTATAATTATTATTTTTCTTCATTTAATCAAACATTCTATGAATTATTACAACAAATTATAACAAAATTAAATTCTATCAATTTTAATCAATTCACTATCAATGATATTTCTCTTATGAGTATTCTTAATAATCTACATTTTCTTGATCAAGATAAATTAGATGGATCTCATGAATATCATAAAAATGAAATCATTAATGATTTGAAAAAATGCTCATTATTACAAATATATGAAGAGATTATAATATTATTAAAAAATATATATTTATTTAATTTACCATTAAATAATAATTTAACATTAATTAATTATTGGAATATTCAATATGAAGAATATTATATAAAAATTATTGAATTCATTAAATTATTACAAAGACAATGGAATAAATTATTAATTGCAATTGAAGAAATCAATAATAAATTAATAAAACATAATCACTATGTCAATGTATTGTATAATTTAATTATATTGAATAATAAAATTGATGAAACTAATATAAGAATATATGAAACATATAATAGTGTACAATTAATATCAATATATGCTAATTATTTTGAACCTGTTCAAAATGTATCTATGCAGAATGAAATCATTCATACAAATAATACTAGAAAACAATCAATAATGATAAATAAAAATATTATTATGAATAATACATTAGATAAACAAAAAACTTTAACAATTAATAAAGAAATTGTTATTAATTCAACATTAAGGCAAATGGATCATGTAAGTAATCGATTACATTTTAAATAAATAAACATAATCATAATTATATTAAAATTAATATTCATTACATTTGATAGCAATATTTTATTTTGGTTTATTTTAATAAGTAACAAAACTAGAAATACCATTTTATTATTTTTTATAAATCTTACTTATTACCAGATATCATTAATTAGATTAATATTTAACAATGAAAATGTTCAATGATAGCATGATTATATCATTCAATCAAGTACGGAATTTCGACTATTATATATATATATATATATATATATATATATATATATATCAGAAGGGGTTTTGTGGAGATTGTAGTAATTTCAATAGTTAAGATCATGAGTCAGTTGAAGCTAGACCGCCATGGAAAACATAGAAGCACTGGACGGCCGGAGTTCTAGTAAGAAGTAGTGACCAGTGGAGTTCAACCAGGTCTGTTGTGAGAAAGTAACTCACTGAAGACAATGGTGGATGTGTCGCTTAATTTCGTGGATTAGTTGAAGTTGGACATTAACACCGTTGGATGTCGGCCAGCTCAGTGGTCTAGTGATTAAGTGCTCGCGGGTGAGACCAGTAGGCCCTGAGTTCGAACCCGGCAGGAGGCGAGTTTGTGGATGCGCACTGCCATGGAGGAGTCCCATACTAGGACGAAATGGCCGTCCAGTGCTTTCAGGTTTTCTAGCTTCAATTGACTCATGATCTCAACTGTTGAAATTACTACAATCTCCACAAAACCTCATTCTGATAATAATCAACATATGCTCAATAGTGACTGACTTCAAGAGGTATATCCTACAGTTCTAGTGAGAAGTAGCGACCAGTGGAGTTCAACCAGGTCTGTTATGAGATAACAACTCACTGAAGACAATGGCTGATGTGTCGCTCAATTTCGTGGATTAGTTGAAGTTGGACATTAACACCGTTGGATGTCGGCCAGCTCAGTGGTCTAGTGATTAAGTGCTCGCGGGCGAAACCAATAGGTCCTGAGTTCGAATCTGGCAGAGGGCGAGTCACACAGTGGGACAAAACGGCCGTCCACTGCTTCCAGGTTTCCTATGGTGGTCTGGCTTTAACTGACTCATGATCTTAACTATTATATATATATATATATATATATATATATATATATATATATATATATATATATATATAAAATCACTTTTAAGAAGATTTCAATAATATCCATGTTTGATCATAACTTAGACCCAGTTCTTATAGCTTTGAAAAACAATAAAACTTCTGCAATGATTTAATAGCTCATAAGATGCAAAATCTATAAGTTATCAGAAATTGATTATCTTGGTCAAGAAACAATAAATCAATGAAAATATGTTTTATATCCATTTCTAAACATTTTTCTTCAAGTAAATTTATGAAAAAAATGGATTTTTTTTTCGCTTTCTACACAGATCTCTTATATACTAAAATAAATTATCCATAATTAGCTTATTTCAATGATACATAGATACTGAAAATTCAATATTAGGTTAGATAATTGATAAATATGTATTTGAATAAGAGTAAACATTCATTTATAACTAAACATTTACTTCCTAAGTTCAAGTTATGAGTTAATATTTTAAGCTTTGTAATATTAGTTCTAGTTCTAGGGAATATGAAGAATACAAAATGAATGTAATCGGAATTCGTTTGATCAACTAGCTGAATTTATTATTATTATTATCGATTATATTGTATTATTACATTTTTTTTTTTTTGAGAATGCTACATTTACGGACAACAATATTGAGATTAATGTTAATTTAGTTGATTATTTTTCTTTATTCTATTTAATTTACTTGTTAATTCAAAATAATTGAGTACATTAGTCATTCAAATAATTTTACACATATCTCAATGATATTTCTCTAGGGATATCAAATACTGGTACAAACAATGTTACCAGTAATTAGTAATATCTGATCAAATTGTATGAGCTACTTAGAATACAAACAAGTAACTTAACCAGTTAATATTAGCATATATAAATATATATAGTCACCTGAAATAAACGGAGCGAGTAAATGAATTCACCAAAAGGATAAAATGGAATAGGCAAAAGAAACCATTTAAAAAGATGCTTAGGTTTAGATTTTTAAAAAATAATTATGTAAAGATAATTGCTTTAATAGTTAACTAATTACCTTATGGTAACCTTAATATTTATTCACCCAAACCGGTCATAACAAATGGTGCTTAATGTTCTTATTTGAGTACAATTTTCATAAATGATATTTAAAATTCAATTTCAATTAACTTGTTTTCAGATAATTGAACAATTGAAATTATTTACTTCATATTTAAATCGACTACGAAATGAAGTATATACTTTTCTACCAGCCAAATCTGTCCTTAATGAAAATGATTATTCAGAATTTCATCTTTTAAAAACTAAATTAAATAATCTTTACAGATCTAGAAAATCTTATGTGGAAATAACATCTCAGTCTGTTAAACAACAAAATATCAATAATGAAGATAATTATAGTAGTGATCATAGTGATGAAGTTTCACTAACCGGTCTACAAACAGTTGGATCATCATTTCAAGAGGATATAGGTTCTGTTATTTCTAAATCCAGTCTTAAAGATGATAAAGAAGAGAAGATAGACAAAAATCAACTCTCAGAAACAAACACATTGCATGAAACATTGAATTTACAGCAAACTGACTGTGAAATGACATTGGTTGCTACTGAGTCTGAGAATAGTTTACAGGAATTATTGTTTACATCAATAAAACCTATCATTAGTAGTACTGAAGGCAATGAGGATAATAAATATTCTGAACAAAATTATAAAACGCCAATGAATTCCCCTGAAGCACATGAATTACACATATTATTACTTCCACATATTTCAATGATTGCTTATCACTTATTAAACAGGTTAAGTTTTATTCATATGCATTTTATAGATTGTTTAGAAGACAGTTTAAAAATAAGAGATAAATTGGAAATTCGACGTAACGTTTTGCGTCTAGTTGACAATATTGTGTCAATGGAAAATTGGATTGAAGAAAAGTAAGTTGATATTCATTTCCTTTTTAGATTCACCAACCATATCTACTCATTATTAGTTTTTAAATAGAAAATTAATTTTGCTTAGTTGTAAGTTGGGGAGTTTGATCCCCCCCTCCATTCTTGACTGAAGTTTATAAAACAGTCATCGAAAATTCAATAGTATTTGAGAATAGAAACATCCACCTTATTTGGTTGATATAGGACTTAAAATTTAATGGGATCAAATTTATTCTTCGCTTTTTATGGATCTGACCTCGTTTTTCTAATAATTTAGCCAGAAATGAATTTCACTGCTAAGTCTACTCAGTGATGTAATATGATATTTGGTTGATATAACAGTGTCTAGTTGTATACAAATGAATATATGTTTATTGTGTTTATTGAGTTTCTAAATTTTTAAGTGATGATATGTAACTAATCTTTACAAAGTAGAATATAAGTTACTGGATAGTCCAAAGGGTGTTAAAATATATATTCACTTGACGAATAAAAAGACGATAAGGAAACGATCATAAATCTGATAAAATAAGGGATTAGGCATCTCACTTCTGAACTCACAGAAACATTTTCTAATACAAATGGTTCTTTCAAGTTGTTTCATTTATTTTCGCATAGAATTGTTTGGCTTGTATCTTCGCATTGAGATTTAAGACTGCAATTGATCAGTCTTTTATAGGCGTATGTGCATACTGTGCCTTAATTCACAAGCTTTTTGTAGCGTAAGCAATGATGGATAGTGGCTAGCAGTGGAATTAAGGACGTGCGTTTCGTCCTATTTGGGACTTGTCAGCTGGATGTACCTGCATCTCAGAGTTGATGTTCATTCCGGGACTCGAACCCAGTATCATTCGCTTCAAACGCCATCAATTGCAATCTTAAAAACCTCAGTGGGAAGATACAAGTAAAACAGTATCAGGTGAATTTGAATTTGCCCCATTGCACAAGCAAGTGACTATCAGTAGCTGAGTAGATAACGCGATGGCGTTTGAAGCTGGGTTCGAGTCTCGGAATGAACATCAACCCTGAGATGTAGGTACATCCAGCTGACGAGTCCCAAATAAGACGAAACGCGCGTCCTGAATTCCACTGCTAGCCACCCTCCATCGTTTCATTTATGATTTATTGCACACATATGAATGGTTGTTGTGGTGGAGTTTTGTCATTTTTAAATGATGCTGTTTGCCAAGTTGCGTTCAGTTTTAGATGATGAGGCAGAGTAATCTCAGAGATTAGTACAAAGTGAGCATGATCTACTCAGTTCATATAAATAGCTTCATATTAGCAAATGAGTTGATAGGTACACATTATTGGTTTTCTTAATGAAGTAAAGCTTCTATGTTAAGTAGCATGAAATATGATTATATAGCTTCCGTAAATGAAATAGTCAAAAGGAACTATTTGATATTGCGTGAAAAATCCTTGTTTTGTCAAATCCAGTTTAACTTTCATTTCTATATCTTCTTTCCTGTTTTTATTTTCAAAAAAAAGGGAGAGAATTTTGTTAACATTCAATCCTGTAATATATCCTTCGATGGAATTTTTAAAATCTTTACCAATACCATGTCCTATTACTGTTACGGAAGAAATTATTCATGCTATGTCACAACTCTCTGTACAAGCTTATCGTTTTAAAACATTTGAACATGAACTAATAAGTCATGCGAATTTAAGATTAAGTGAAATCGGAATGCTTAATGAAGGATTATTGGAAAATTTAAAAAGGCTTGATAAAGAAAAGGATTTCAGTATTCTTCAATATATTCAGTCTATTATAAAACTTAATTTATCAGTCCAGGATTATGTAGATGATGAAGATGAAGAAGATGATGATAATGATGATGATGAAGAAGAGGAAGAAGAAGAAGAAGATGATGATGATAATGAAGAGGCACAGGAGGAAGATGATAGTAGTGAAGCCAGAGATAAACTAGATGAAATCAGTGTAGATAAAGAAAGTAGTCAAGAATATGTTGAAAGTAACCATGAAAATAAGATGTTTTATCTACGTAGATCGAAAAACGTTAGTGACGAACAAAAGAATGTTAACAATGTTGATGAATCAAAATATTCAAAATTATTAGATTATATTAACAAAAAATGGCAACGTTTGAAGCTTTTACTTAATGCACGTCATGAACGATTTGAATTGGCTGCATATTTATCAAAATATCATACTTTATGTCAAAGTACAAAAGAATGGATAATACGTAAAAGAGAATTACTTATCTCAACTGATGATTTAGGCACAGATTTAAATAGTGTTATGCAATTACAAAGAAGATTATTAGGTTGGGAAAAAGATTTTATTGCATTACAAAATGAAATTCATAGTCTTAATATAGAAAGTGAAAGATTATTGAAAACTTTAATAGAGGAAGCTCCACAAAGAAGAGATTTATATCTTATCTCTGGTGAATTATATGCTTCAAAAGAAATTAATCAATTAAGATTAGAATTGAATCAAGAATGGGAATTTTTACAAGTAGAATTAAAAAATCGTCAAGAGAAATTATTAGCTTCAGCTGAACTGCAACAATTTTTTCAGGTAATAATTATTTTATCAATCTTATAATAAATATGTGGGGTTTTGTTAATCTATACAGGAATATTCAACAACAACAACAAACAAAAATAGAAACATTATTATTTATATACGAAAGATTGCATGTTCAAAGTAGTTAAAGGGTAACATCTATACTATTCGCTATGTATGTATCATTTTTCACTTTTCAAATGAAGATAAAAATAAATTGAAATATAGACGATTTTTACAATGTCAATCAGTCAATAGATCATTTTCTATCGTTCAATAATAACAAGTCTACAAATACACTTTTTTTTGTTTTGTTTTAACATGAAAAATTATGATGTTTAACTAAATTATCATTTCAAATGGCTTATAAAAAATTCAATATTCAAGAAATAAGGGCAATCTTCTTTTATTCTTATGTTTTTTTGTTTTGTTTTTCGGTAAGACTATCATTTATGGACGATCTTTGAGCTAAGCTAAACTGACCTTGGAAGTGTCCATTTAATATCTATCATCAAATGAGGGTTCTAAACCTGAGTAAGGAATTAGAACTATGTTTTATAGTTGATGATTATGGTTAGGAATTAGATTGTGGGAGTTTTTGTCATGAACTGTGACATCAGCTATAATGCCAAAACTCTATTTAACTAAATTGAATGAGTGAATTTCGCGCCAATATCCAAGGCCTATTATCTTATATCTTATTGATTCGTCCATAAATTATAGTCTCGTTTTTTTTTTATTGTAAGTAGAATACTTTGATATGAGTAAAACCTTTGAGATTCCAACTGACTTTTATTGCCTTGTATTTAGTCGATATCAACAATAAATGTTATAACTACTTATAGATCGCTTTCAAAGTTGAATGAAATTCTTAAATTTTTCAAAAATTAGAAGATGAAATTGTCTACGACTTGACGATACGTACTTTATGAAATCGATAATAATCTTTAATTTGAAAAAAAATTCAATTTCAAAGCTAATATCTATCTGATGTCTTGAGTGTTTCTGAATCTTCTCCAACAAAACTTTGTGATGATTTATGTTGGAAAGAAACCACTAGCTATTTTTTTTTGTTTAATCAAGCAGTTAGTCACTATAGACATCATTTTACTTTTAGCATTGTTATGACTAAAGTGAAAAGTAATTTCGAAACAAATTAATGTCATTTGAACGGTATAAATTAGCTACTAATATATATGAAATCAATCTAAATGTTTGAGTTTCCGTAAGAGTCCTAATAAAATTCATATTCTAATCACAGTCAAAGTTTTCCATTTTGTTATTTTTTGTCTTATATGATAAATTTATGTAGCGATGCCTATAAATTACACATTTCAGTATAACAAAATCGATATTAAAGTCTGAATTTACTGTTAAATCACTTTACCATAATCACGCTACAGAACATCAAAGATTAATTTCTTTCGAATTCTTATTTAATTGTTGAATTCGTAAGTCAATTAAAGCTAGACCACCATGGAAAACCTGGAAGCGTTTGACGGCTATTTCCTTCTAATGTGGAAATTTTCATCAGTGCGCATCTATAATCCCGCCTCTCGAGATTCCAACCCAGGACATATCAGTCTCGCGTGAGAACACTTAACTACTAGACCACTGAGTAGACATCCGTCGGTGTTATTATCTAATTTAAACCAATCCACGATATTGATCCACAAATGCATGTAAAGACAGCCAGCATAGCAGTAATCTCTGCATCAGTAGGCTTCAAAATACACAAAGGGAAAACCAAGGTCCTCAAACACAACACGGAGAACAGCAACCCAATCACTCTTGATGGCGAAACTCTGGAAGACGTGGAATCCTTCACATACCTGGGAAGCATCATCGATAAACAAGGAGGTTCAGATGCAGATGTCAAGGCGAGGATTGGCAAAGCTAGAGCGGCATTCCTTCAACTGAAGTACATATGGAACTCAAAACAACTTTCAACCAATATCAAAGTCAGAATCTTCAATACCAACGTCAAGGCAGTTCTACTGTACGGAGCTGAAACTTGGAGAACTACAACAACCACCATCAAGAAGGTACAAGTATTTATCAATAGCTGTCTACGCAAGATACTCAACATCCATTGGCCGGATACCATTAGCAACAGCTTTTTGTAGGAGAAAACCAACCAGCTTCCAGCTGAAGAGGAAATTAGGAAAAGAAAATGGAAATGGATAGGACATACATTGTCGAAATCATCAAACTGCATTACGAGGCAATTGCTAACTTGGAATCCTGAAGGGAAGCGAAAAATTGGAAGGCCAAAGAACACATTACGTCGGGAAAGAGAAGTGGATATTAAGAGGATGAATAAGAACTGGAAAGAGCTTGAATGGATTGCCCAGGACAGGGTTGGATGGAGAATGCTGGTGAGCGGCCTATGCTCCTTCACGAGGAGTAACAGGCGTAAGTAAGTGAGTAAATAAATCCACCATTGTCTTTAATGAGTTACTATCTCACAACAGACCTGGTTGAACTCCACTGGTCACTGCTTCTCACTAGTATTTCAGGAAATATAAATTAGAGTCAGTCACTAATGAGCGTATGAATTTAATAATCAGAGAGAGGTTTTCTGGATATTAAAGTAAGTAAAAACCTGAAAGCAATGGACGGCCGCTTCGTTCTAGTATGGGACTTCTCAGCAAATTCACTTTTCTCACTCCATTTTATTATTATTACGTTGATTATTATTTTTGCATTGTTTCGTTGTACTATTTAAACTTGGATTAATTTTTATTTGGTTATTTATTCTCTGAAGAAGTGACTTACACTAAGTCACAAAACGTCAGAAAATCTAATTTTCTATTCATTAGGATATTATTACGTTGATTTGTTCATTACTAATAAAGTAGTATATATATTTAGATGTAAAAATTTATATTAATGTTGAGTCATGATGAGCATTTAACTGAAAACAAATATCTTTTTAATCAAATTATATATTTTAAGTCTTCAATGAGAATATATAAAATAGAAGAGTTTTCATTATTTCTCTATTCATTTCTCCCATTTATGTCAGGTGAATATTAGATATTAATAGAAGTGATAATAGTAATATATGCATAAAGTAACTAACTCTCAATGATAATAAAAGGGAATATACGCAGTTTTTAATTTCAGTTTACTTTATATTTGAATGTAAAACTGTACAATATTGTATTATAGTTAATTATTACTGCGTAATTTAATGATTATATTAGATACATATTACTAGATTAAGTAGTATAAATGCTAGATATAACATTTAATTTATAAATAGCGGAATTTGTGTTAATCTTGAGATGTTCCAGAAAATTTCTCGCAAAAGACAAGTAGGAATCAGAAAACACTAAAAATCATTTCATTCAATCAGCGTTCACTTGAAGTTTTTAGCCAGAAACATCAAGGAAGTGAAATGTCACATTTAGAGCTTCTGATTGGTTGATTGCTATGCTGCTACTATGTTTAGTAGCATTCCAGAATCTTTAAGCAACTCAATGACTTTTCATAATATTATTTAAATCTTATATTTCCTGTATTAAAATGAACCTTTGGAGTAAAGTACTTCTCGCATACTTTGCGTCTTCTCTCTCGTGTTCAGATCGCTGTATACTTCTAGCTTGGTGGTTACAAGAATAGCTTAAGAACCGAATATATCGTTCAATTTGCAAGATTTATCAGTTAACTTTATAGTTGACCTGAAAATTTGATTATTTTTAATCATCTATAATGTGATGAAGAATAATTCTTGTTTTTTTTTTTCTATATAAAAGTCAGAAAACACTGATTCAGTTTTTTTTTGTTGTTACGTAACCACTGAAAATGTTAATACTAGAAGTTAAAATTAAAATTTATTTAATATGAATACTGGATGTTCTTTTATTTACTTGACAACTAAAGCAAACTTTTACAAATAAAATTATCAATACTTTCTTTTACTTAGGGTTTAGATGACAATCAGTTGTGGTTACGTAATATTGAAATTCGTGTAGCAACACATCAATTACCACAGTCTGTAGAAGAAGCTAAAGCTGAAATTGATATGCATAAAGAATTAAGTGAACAAATTTTAGCTCGTAAAGATGAATATAGTGATTTAATAAGTTATGGACGGTGTATTACAGCTGGTGAAACAGATATACATTACATACAACTTGATCAACGTTTAGATAGATTAGAAAATGGTTGGTCAGAATTAATGCAAATGTGGACATATCAACAAAAACTTTTACAACAAAATTTAAACTTCCAGGTGGGTTAAAGAAAAATTGAAGTTTATTATTTACCATTTGTTATATTTAAACATATGTACAATTTTTAATGAAGTTTTATCTGTTCCATTTTGATTCATCTATTTAAAATTATCAGTCAATCAGTTGTCGGAATATGCTCTCTCCATTATTGTTTAACTTCGTCGTTGACGTGCTTTTAGAAATAACACTTTCCACATCTGACTTTCCAGGGGTTGAACTTCTACCGAAAGACTCACTTGTTGACTTAGAGTATGCCGATGACATAGTTCTATTTGGTGAAGACGCTGACGAAATGCAGAGTCTGTTGTCTACTCTAAGGAACAATGCAAGCATGTTCGGCATGCGATTTTCTCCCTCGAAATGCAAAATTCTGCTTCAGGATTGGGTTGCATCGACACCCGAACTAGTGATAGAGAGTGAAGTAGTTGAGCGTGTCGACCGCTTCACTTATCTTGGAAGTTTCACCAGCCCTTGTGGTTTGGTGTGTGACGAAATCTCAGCACGGATACAGAAGGATCGAATAGCTTTTGCCAACTTGCGTCATTTGTAGCGTAAGCGAGATATCCGTCTATCAACCAAAGGACGGGTTTACTGTGCGGCAGTTTGTTCTGTCCTACTTTATGGCTGTGAAACATGGCCGCTAAGATTAGAGGATATTCGTATGTTACTAGTATTCGACCATAGGTGTCTTCGAAACATCGCCCATATATCCTGGGACCACCGAGTAAGTAATGCAGTTGTTAGGAAACAGGTACTAGGTAAAAATGGCAAATCAACTGACGAAGTAGTGAAACTTAATCAGTTGAGATGGCTGGGACATGTGTTGCGCATGCCCGACCACCGACTGCCCCGACGTGCTATGTTTTATGGTGTAGGAGTAGGTTGGAAGAAAGCTAGGGGCGGCCAGACCAAAACATGGCACAAATCCATGAAGTCACTGACAAGTGGACTGAGTCATGTTGGTAGGTGTAGACTACCTGGTTGGGGACCGCGAGATGATAACAACCGATGGTTAGAGACCTTGAATGACATGGCTCAAAATCGTTTGCAATGGTGTGTGCAGATACATCCACTCTTTGTGTTCTCTCAAATTCTAATCTTCTGAATTCCTTATGTCCTTTATTTTCTTTCCAAATCTATTCTACTGGACTATAATTCTTTAATAACATCATCAAACCTTAATGTTCCCTGTCACTACATATACTTTCGCTACCTTTACCACTATGGGATTTGAATCGATAATTGAATCTCTGTGCTAATGCGGTATGGCAACTCGAACTGATGTACGTACGTACGAAGTTTCACGTTGTTACTGCCTGCTGCCTGCCTGTCAAAATATTATTTTTTTTATTTTTTTAAATAAAAAATTGATATTATCAGAAGGAATTTTGTGGAGATTGTAGTAATTTCAATGGTTAAGATCATGAGTCAGTTGAAGCTAGGCCACTATGGAAAACCTGGAAGCGAAGTCGTGGATGCGCACTGCCATGGAAGAGTCCCATAATAGGACGAAACGACCGTCCAGTGCTTCCAGGTTTTCCATGGTGGTCTAGCTTTAACTGACTCATGATCTTAACCATTGAAAATTGATATTGTTTTCGAATTAGAAAACATTGTGAATGGATACACTGTATGAATGTTGAAAAATCTCATTTTTAAATTAAGTAGTTCCTATTGCAATTAAACAATTTTGAATGTAATTACCGTTGTGTTTTATGTAATCATTGTTTGTGAAGACCAAATAAAGTCTATGTAAAAGCTACAGAGTAGTGATGACTTATCCAAATAGCCTTCTAATGTTGATCAATGTTAAATTAATAATTTTGATCCACAATAATGGTGTCTATGGAATAGTAGAATAGAGAGTTTACATTATAATGGGTTATAAATAATTTGTTAATATTATTTTCATGCTGAATGTATATGTTTGAAAAACCAAACAATATCATCATACACATCATATTACGCCAAGTAACAACTGTTGAAAGTGGAGTTACAGGGGATATAAACTTTAACATTGTGAAGTAAACCATCAATTCGTTTATGATGTTCATTAGTGTGATAATGTGTTTCATTCCACATTCATAAATATGATTTTATAATTATTGTAATGAATAAACACTTGAGTGAGCGACGACCGATTTATTGTTTATTGCACAACTACACAAATAGTTCAGTATCATGTGAAAATCATGCATTAAATACATCATTTGCACGTGTTATTTTTTTCAAGTTTTTTCTTACAAGCATCATTGTATGTTCATTTTTGTTATTATCTTGATTACGTTTCTTTCTCTCTTCTCTTCACTTCATTCTGCTTAACCTTCTACTTCCAAGCAATCTCCTTCAGGTTGGTGTTGTTTACTACTTGTGTCTGTCAACATATGCAACATATACCACAGTATCAGTTATAATCATTATCTAGGAAGTATCGTAAGCTTCGTATATGTTAGAGTTTTACAAAAAAATTAGTTTAATTAAAAGAAATTGTAAGCATTGATCCAAAAGTCTGTATAGAAGATTGGCTATTCAAGATAGAACTTCTATATCCACAAACTAAAGCATGATATCAGTATACCGTAATCACAAACATAACAATTGTAATGATTTCCTATTTAAAAAATTTGAGTTCGTGAATTGTCATCTGTTTGTTTACAACCATGCCAATATTTAATGTTTGTTATTTATTAGTTCTGTTTATCATAATCCACTTAGTTTTATGATAAATTAATATGTTAAAATTCTACATTTAACCGTATTAAAGGAGTTAGATAGACATCACTAAATATTATTATTAAATTAATAAATTTTTGATTGAGATCATGAATCGACTGATGTTAGACCACCATTGGAAACCTGGTCTAACATCAGTCGATTCATGATCTCAATCAAAAACTTAATAATCTCCACAATGATAATCAATGATAATTAATGAATGCCCTGGTACGGCCGAGAGTGGGGAGAGTCCGCTCTCCCTCTCCAAATGCTCTCACATGGCCACGCGTATATAGCCTCTACCAGGGAAGTCCTACTCACTGCCTTCTCGTGGCATTACTGTTGTTTACGAAAATAAGAGGACGAAGAGCGAATGTCCGGCGCTTTAACCGGATTCTAAACCAATGGTGTACATGGGCTGGCTCCAGTATCCTGAAGGAACAAATGGAGTATGAACCAATCGTTGGTCATCGGCTACCATGGGACTGCATCTCCTTACGATGCTCCACTGCCTTGTGGGTCAGACCTTCAGGTCGAAGGCTCGGAGTGTGGCCTCCTAATAAAACCACCTGCTTCGGTTTGGGCACCCGGGCAGTATCACAGCCCTCACACATATCAATTGAGATTTGTGTGACGCATATGTATTTGGTCCGTCTTTGTACCAATACTTATGTGTTAAAATAAATAAATAAATAATAATTTGTTGATTCACTATTTCATAGATGAAAACAGTCAATCTACTCACATAAAGTACATAAAACAGTAAAGTCAACACCATGTTTATAAATGTAGTTGTAAATAGATGTAATCGCTTTGACTGTTTACAAGAAAGTATCATCAATGAAGAAGTAGTCAGTTGATTTAAATCACCATATTATTGTACAGCATATTGTACAGCAGATATATATATATATATATATATATATATATATATATATATGAAAGTATGTCTATCATTGTTGAAAAAAATCAGTTTACAAACGTAACTCTTAAATATTAGTGAAAATCTATCAATCGTAACATTAGTTTTTATTCATTTTCTCCATTTATTAATAACAGTGACTAGTAAATGTAAAATTAAGATTAATTTGTATATTAGATATTTCGGCATTAGAGTTATAAAACTTAAAGTAAAGGTGAATGATAGATGGGGTAAGTCTTAACACCCTTTTTTGTTGATTGATTTATGATAGTTTTATTTTATGACTTTTAAGAACATCTTCAAGGTATAGAAGAATGAAATATGTCTTTTATAATTTTTCATATAGAATACTATAAGTTTGGCTAAGAAGATTATGAAAATTAGTTCAATGTGAAATAAAAAGCTTTATACATAGACATTTATTGGTATTTGAATCTTTACAAACTAGAAAACATTGGAACACTGTTTTGTTCACGTTTAAGATTATTCAGCATTTTATAATTATGACTTTGTTAATCGTCAAGTTCAGGTTCATTTAGCCTTTGATATTACTGTATCAAATATAGACCAACAAGAGAGTATATACGTTTCCAGTTTCAACCAATTTATGATTCAGTACAACAGTTATCTAATTTAATCGGTTGTGACTGTCTATTTATTAAAAGGGCTAAACGATTTTAGGAAGGTTAATTATGAGAATGATGTTCAAGATGAAAGATTTTCAATGTTTATATTATCTAACTTGAAATTTTATTCTTTTTTCACTTTTTTCTTTCTTGAAAAGATGTTTTTACGTGATGCACATTTATTTGAAACTCTGTTATCAACACAAGAAAGTAAACTAATGAATTATCAATTAATAGTAAGTATTTAATTAACTGACCATTTGCTTTGTTATAGACTAATACTAATTACTATTTTTATGGGTTGATATAAAGTATTTTGAACAAAACTGCCTTCAAGCGACATTTCTTGGGCACTTTGAATGTTAGATTCGAAAATGTAATCTATTTTTGGCTAAAAATTATTCTAATTTTAATTGCTAACCAATGAAATCTATCAAGATCTGAATTAGAATTTCAATCTTCACAAAACCCCATTCTGATAATAATCAATATATGCTCAATAGTGACTGACTTCAAGAGGTATATCCTACAGTTCTAGTGAGAAGTAGCGACCAGTGGAGTTCAACCAGGTCTGTTGTGAGATAGTAACTCACTGAAGACAATGGTGGATGTGTCGCTCAATTTCGTGGATTAGTTGAAGTTAGACATTAACACCACTGGATGTCGGCCAGCTCAATGGTCTAGTGGTTAAGTGCTCGCGGGCGAAACCAGTAGGTCCTGAGTTCGAACCCGGCAGGAGGCGAGTTTGTGGATGCGCACTGCCATTGGGGAGTCCCACAATAGGAAAAAACGGCCGTCCACTGCTTTCAGGTTTTCCATGGTGGTCTGACTTCAATCCACTCATGATCTGAACCGTTGAAATTATAAACATTTCTTTAAATATTACAAACATTATAAGAACAAATGAACAATTCGTGATGTCTAATTTTGTAGTCAATGTTCTATAAAATATCACCTTCAAAGTGAGGAAGTAAATATGCATGTCTGTTAGTTTGTAGATATTACGACATGATTAAGATCTGAATTATTAAATAATAATTAATAATTATCACTAACAAATTATTTCAAGGCTCCTTTCGGCGAGACTCTGATTAATAGACGACCTTTGAATGAATGTTAAATGAAGTAGAGAAATATTAGCTAATCAAGAAACAGTTAGTGTAGAGTAAAATACATAGTATATAAAATCAAATAAATAAAGTGGATACACTTATTATACGTGGGTTCAAACACTTGCCATGGTTAGAAAGAGGTTGAGAGGTTCTAAAATCTTAATGCATTCAGTAGAGGAAATCATTCATATGGCTAGAGAATAGTCGGCATCTGAAGCCATGATAAAGTCTCAAAAACTCTTTCAGCCTCGACCAAATAATTTCAATATTGTTTATGTGCACTCCGGTTGTTGAGTACACAAAATGCTACTTGTGGATAACGAAACGATGCACATAACCAAGCGTATGTGGGAGTCTGTATGCTCTCGAAATATCCGTCTATATTGTAGTACTAGTGTTACTGGTGCTTTTATTATGCAGTTCGCGATAATTGTCATAATTTGTTTTAGTTAGGAATTATATATGGGGTTTCCATCACGAACTGACATCAGCTATGATGCCAGAAGTCTGTATAGATTTGGCCAAATATTTAGCCGAATGGATGAAAGACTTTCGCACCAAAATCCGAAATCTGTTATCTTTTAGCTGATTGGTTCATCCACAAATTATAGTTTGACCGTTTCATTTGTTATAGCCGCTCAATTATCATGTTTTGTACAAAATTCTTTGTGAACCGATCGTACGTTAGCATTAAGTATTGAAGTTTGCACCGTGACGTTGAAATCTTGAAAACGCTTCTGATTGACTCGTCCATAAATTAGAGTCTCACCCTCGTTTCTTCCTTTTTTTTTGATGATCCATCTATCATATTCATTCATTTGTACCTCATAACTGATATTCTCACTGCAAAAATAGATTCCGATTGATGTGGTTTAAAATATATGATTATATTTACTGTCATGATTAAAGTTGTTTTCCAATAAAATGTGACACAAATTAAAATATGTTAAACTAAGAAAATCATATCAGTTTTCAACTTCTACTTTTTCACAATTACAAAAATTATTGTCGTGAAACTTAAAAATTATTTACACAGTTTACTTACAATAGATACTTTCAAAGTGAAAAAAATAATAAGAATAGAATAGATTCAATAGTAATTGTGAAGAAAGGAAACATAAAATGTTATTATTATTATTCACTGTAACTAATAAATGAAAACCAAAACAATTCCACTTCATACATACAATAAGTATCACTATTGTTCATATTCGATATATATATATATATATATATATATATATATATATATATATATAAGTAGTATATACTGTAAATGAATAAGAAAAAAGAGATTAAGTGTTGATAATGACCATAGTTAAAAAAAAAACATAGAAAGTAAAAAAGATTTACGTCACTTGGTATAGAAATTTATAAGAATTTAATAAACAGTATACAAATCAAACAAATTTCCACAAAAAACATCAAAAAAAATAAAAAAAATAAAAGGACTACTTATGAAACACTTGAAAACTAGTCATACATATTACATCACTATAGTTTTTTTTTATATTTTATTCCGTCTTAGTGACATGTTTGAAAAGAAACAAAACAAAACAAAACAAAACAATTGTACAATAATAATAATAATTAGAAGTGACAACTGTTTTTTTTTTGGTGTTTTCTTTGTTGTTTAGACTTTATAGAAAAATGGTTAGAAATGTTAAAAATAAGACAAACTAAGTAATTTTTGTCTCGGTATAAACTAATATGAATAGATTTTATGCATCATATTACATTGATATAAAGAAAATGAAAGATAGAAAGATGGAAAGATACAGGATAGATAATGTTGATTTTAGTTAACTGGTTTCAAAAAGAAACCAAAACAAAAAAACCAAAAAAAAAAGATTGAAATTTAGTTCATTGACTTTTTAATGATAATAGATAGAATTATTTCATTAGATAGTAATAAATAAATAATGTTTGTTGGGTTGATTTTTAATGTATATTAGAGAGATTTAATTGGTATCATGAATAGATGAATGTTAGAATACCATTAAAAACCTGAAAGTAGTAGATGACTGTTTTGTCCTAGCATAGGACTTCTCAGCAGTGCACATCTACATTAATATAGTTGAATGTCGTTTCAGTAGTCTTAAGGTTAAACGTTCATCCGTGAGAACGAAAACTCTGGGTTTGAGTCCCGTGTACGGGATGGTAGATGTGCACTGATGAATAGTTCTGTACTAGGACGAAACGGCCGTCTAGTGCTTCCATTCATGATATTGATTAAAACTCAACAATCTTTGGAACCCTATAGTGGTATATAGAGATCATGTACACAGAACTTGTGGAATAATACAATTTTAAGATTCGATTTGAAACAGAAAGTCTTCATGAAACAGATTCAGACCAGTTATTATTTAATACGCAGTAAATAGTTTTCTGTTCTAATTATTTAGTCAGATGTCTTAAATTTGTTAATTGTTGTATGAAACTATCACGCAAATTGAAAAACAAAAAGTATTTTAGGCCTGAATCTGTCAATCATTATGATATATAGTTATATCTCTGAAATAAATATAAAAACAGAACTATTTTAAGATATCTGGAAATGTATTAAAATGTGTCCAATTTTAAAGGATTAACCAGGCACTAAATACGGGGGAGACATTAAAAAGGAAAGAATACTTGTGAACATATTACAGACTGAAATCCAAGTAAATTCAACGATCAACCAAATAGGCTGATCCAAACATTGCCGAGAGTTAATCAAAAGCCAAAATAATCAAAAATTAAGAAAGTATAGATGAATGTCTAGTAAAAGTTAAAAAACAATCTGTACTGGAATAAAACAGAAAGATGTCAACAGTTTTCTGACCAAGTCATGTGATTCTATTCACGAATAAATTTACTTTTAATTTTATTATTCCTTAAACATTTAACTTTGTACTGATTGGAAGATCTATTAAACACGTATAAGAACAATTTTATGTGAAACTAGTTTATGTTGTGGTTGATTTTCAGTTCTAGAAATATTAAAAGCCGAAAAGAATCAAACTAATATTCCTTCTGATCGTAGGAACTCTATTAATCGAACTTTAGATAATCGAATAAAATTTAAATACCCAATTATGTATCAGAGTGACTGTGACATTTTTAAACATATTAGTAAGAAATATGTGACTGTTATTTTCAATTCTAATGAGTTGAACATTTGACGATGATTTAGTATCGAAACTTACAATCCTCACAAAACATTAACTAACTAGTTGGTAGCATCCAACAATTCTTCTAGAATTCACTAAGTATCACTTTAATATTCATGCTAATCACTGTAGCTAATGCAGTTATACTTGTAGTCGCTTGTGATTCAAGTCACTTGTTGTTTTCCTCCCAAATTTTGACATAGTGCTAAATGCATTTGAGTCTTACAAAGCCTATGAGTTTCTTTAAAACTGCACAAATATCCTATTACTGAATTTTAATGGATTCTAGTTAACATATTTTCAGCTTGAAGAGAGTACTTTATCTACTTAAAAACAACTCAATATATTTACTGAGTTCTTAACAAATTTCATTAATTTGGGTAATTATTGTATTCATACAAGTGGATAGATTTGTAAGGTAACTCATTGAGTTCTATTAAGAAACCATTATCAAATTAGTAAGACAATATCACCAATTGCAATAGATAATTTTAAAGCATTGTAGCTATTTCTTTGAGATTGAATGTCAACTCAAAGTTCTGAAACTAAAGTCCTCGTTGTGAAGATCATCTGATCTTTGTAAAATTATGGTTGCAGATTATTTGACAAGTCTTAAACAAGAATAAAGCTACTTTATAGTATCTATGGTTGTCACTATTTCCCTAATTAACATTTGTCGATGATATAAAACTTTACATTAAACGATTACTAAATTACTCGATAATCATAAAAAAAAAGAATAAATTCATAATTTATATTAATGGACATTAAGGAAATTTCTTTGACTAATTCAAACTTGATGACATTTATCATGAATATCGATTATTTCATGTTAAACTAGAACAAAAAAACAAACAAACAAATGGTTCGACTGTCTCTCGTTTCTTTAAAAAAAAAATAAAAGAGAAAATTGATGAAACTGATTTGAATATTTAAAATGTTATCAACCATTCAATCATAGATTGTATTGCTAGCCACTATCTATCATTACTTAAAAAAAGCTTGTGAATTAAGGGCAATATCGAAGCACTACACCCAGTATGCATATATGCTAATAACAGACTGATCAATTGCAGTCTTAAAAAAAACTCAGTGGGAAGATACAAGCCAAACAATACCAAGTGAATATAGCTTTACCCTATTGTACAAGCAAATGGCTGTCAGCATTCAGTAACGAAGTGGATAACGCGATGTCGTTTTAAGCGAACGGTACTGGGTTGGAGTCCCAGAGTGAACATCAACTCTGAGATGCAGGTACATCCAGCTGACAAGTCTCAAATAGGATGAAACACACGTCCTGGATTTCACTACCAGCCATTATCCATTATTGCTTACACAACAAAAAGCTTGTGCATTAAGGCAATATTGTGGCAGTATACACAGTATGCACATATGTCAATAACAGACTGATTAATTGCAGTCTTAAAAACCTCAATGGGAAAATATAAGTAAAACAATACCAAGTGAAATAAATCATTGTGTCTATCTCTGTTTATAGTTGTGTGTTTCTCTTAAAAAAAAGATAATGTTTTCAAATGTTAGATGATCAAACATTAAAACAAAACATAAGTGAAGTATTCAGACATTAAGATTATCATTATTATTATTATCATTATTATTATTATTATAACTGTTGAATGTTTATTCAAGTAAAATTACATTTATTTTTGTTTTTATTTTGTTTTTTTTTTATTGTTTAATTTCATAAATAACACTTGACTATTGTTTATTTAAACAATCACCAAACAAAACAAAAAAAAAGTAGATTAAATTTCATTCAATAAAAAAAAACACATACAGATTTATTATAATGTAAATCAATAATTGTCTCCATGCTTAATTACTAAATTAACTATTTAAGTTTTTTGAAAAACTAATATTTGGAAAAATTAAAAAAAAAATTTTTTTTTCAATAAATTCTCTACAGATTCTACAATTCATATATATCTGAATTAATAATCCGAATAAATGGATAGGTTAAAGGTAAAGTAGATAAATTAAAGTGTTATGTACTTTTAAGATTGTTAAACAGAATAGAAGGGGTTTTGTGGAGATTTTAGAAATTTTACTGGTTGAAATTATAAGTCAATTAAAGTTAGATCACCATGGAAAACCTGGAAGCACTGGACAGCCGTTTTGTCCTAGTATGGAACTTCTCAGAAGATACTTTTAGAGTTCTGGTGAGAAGCTGTTACCAATGGAGTTCAACCAGGTCTGTTTTGAGATATTAGCTCACTGAAGACAATGGTGTACGGTGGTGTAACTTCGTGGATTGGTTAAAGTTAGACATTAACATCGTTGGATACCGGCAGACTTAGTGGTCTAGTGGTAAAGCGCTCGCGTGCGAGAATAATAGGTCTTCGGTTGGAATCTCACCGTGGGGGATCGTGAATGCGTACTTCTGAGGAGTTCCAGAATAAGACGAAGTGGCCGTTCATTGCTTTCAGGTTTTCCGTGGTGGTCTAGCTTTAATTGACTCATGGTTTCAACTATTGAAATTACAATTTTAATCAAATGTTTAATGGAAGAATTTATTGTGTAAAAAACCTATTAGTAAGATGTAATTGGGTGGGATAAATATGAAGTAAATGAATCATGTATTGGGGAGATTAATAATGATGTTTAACCAATAGTAATAATAATAATAATTATAATACAAAAGCTTGTGAATAAAGATAACAGAGACAATTACATTCGACTACGAAAGGTCAGTAGCTAAGATTATTATTGATTAATTTGCCTTGATGTTGGCCAATGGGAAAGAAGCGGCTGAAGATATTTCTTCTGTACACACAGTTTCGGTCTCTTTATCCGGATGGCCACTGCTTCAGCCGTTTGAAGGACTTTAAGACTGACAAGCTTTGGTAAAAACTTACTGACCATATAAATAATTGAAAAAGATTGGTTTATACTGATACTATGACCAATTTGTACGAAATAGGCTAATATCGAGCTGTTCACTTTCTTCATCAAACCTTTGTTCAGCAACGCTGGGAGGTGTTCATGAGCACAAAGACTTAAATTCCTAAAACTTCGACCAATATAACTCGCACACAGAAGCAGTCGAACTTATGAATACAAAATGAAATGATCATTCTAGGTAATTCATCTTTCAGCTTTTACGTCACCATTGGGCGCATAAGAAACACTAATCGTAGTTCTCAGGCGTTGAAAAATTTTTAAGTTGTTTTTCGTAATCTCTGAGTTAATATTTCGCTGGCTACATCCACTCTGAACTGTAGGCGCATGAACAGGTATTTCTTATTCGCCGTTTGTATTTTGCCTATTGTCACCTTCGTGAACATATATTTAATTATAAACTTTCTAAGGTATCCGTTATCCCTAAGAGCATTACACAAGGTTTTTAGCTCTTTTTTAACTATATCCGTAGAACATATAGTCCGTATTCAATAACTAATAGTTTTGATCAGGATTCTTTTGTACGGTGGAGGTACAAAGCTAAGGAAATATGTGTACTGCCCTGTCTGGGTATTTTTCTGTTTAAATTCCTTTATAAGGATCCATCAGCTTTCGTGGTTGAGAGCACGTCCAAAAAGGCTAATCTACCATCACTCTCTTCTTTAGATGTAAACTTAATAGCTGGCTGCACTTCATTAAACTGCCTAAGAACCTCTTGCTGTGATGTATTATTTTTACAGAGGATGAACATATCATCCATATATTGACAGTAAAATGTAAATTTTTGGATAATCTTTTTGAGTAGACCACTTTCTGGTTTGGCTAGCAAAATGACAACTAGTATAGGGCCCAATGGTGAACCCATCGCAACACCATCCGTGTATCAATATATTTATCCATTGAACTTGGAATTCACATTAATGGTGCATTTCAGTAATAACTCTTTTACGACACTGATAGGAACTGTAGTTTCAATTTTAATTTCACTCAAGTGTTCACATGTACATTCTACGGTTTCTATGAGTGGAACATTTGTAAATAATGATGTTGCATTTTTTATCATGTCAACAAATTGGAATATATACTTAACACTATGTTTTACAAGTTTTTCACGGTTTGTGTACCTATGGCAAACCATGGCAGGTAGGTTCCCAGGGGTTTAATCATTTCATATAAACGCGATCAAATAATCTGTTGATCCCCGAGCTTCTTCAAAGATCTGGTTACCTCATTTTCTATCTTATTAGTGAGAACTTTCTGGTCAGTTATTTTTTGAAATTTTAATTTGTTATCTAAAATGGTACCTGTTTTGACAATCAAATCGTACTTTGCATTTGACGTGACCAGTTTTCGGATTATTAATTTGGATATATGAATTGTAGAACCTGAAGAGAATTTATCGAAAAGCATATTCTTTCTTCAAATATTAGTCTTCTAATATGATGAGGATTTTTGAATAATTAAACTGTTTAAGTTTTAACCACAGAGGGGTTTTTTGCGGATATTATAGTAATTTACTAGTTGAATGCATGAGCCAATTAAAGCTAGACTCAATAGTCTAAAGGTTAAGCGCTCACACTCAAAACTGATAGGACCTGAGTTTGAATCTCACTAGGCGGGATCGTGTATGCGCACCGCTGAGGAGTCCCACAATAGGACAAAACAGCCATCCAGTGCTTCTAGGTTTTTCATAGTGATCTAGTTTCAATTGATTCATGAATTCAACTATTAAATTTAACTTTTAATTAAATTCAAAAACAAAGAAGGTGCTTTCTGTCTAACACCTTTATTTCATAACTAACTAATAAAAGTATTTAGTTAACATTAAAACTTTCTTATTTGGTAATATTTAACTCCATATGAATAGTGACAATGTTTGGCATAACAAAAATCAATGAATAGTGAAATCATTTCTGATCATTCTTTTTTCTTTTTTTCTTATTTAATTCCAATTAGAAACAAAAAAATACAACCGATATTCTTACTTCGTTAAAATCTCAAAATGAAATTGTTCAATGTTTAATAAATGCTGATGAATCATTGAATAATTTATGTAATGCCGGGAATCAACTAATTATAGATAAAGTATATTCAGTGGAGAAAATACAAAATAAAATTTTTTTTATAAAAAACAGGTTAGTGATAATATTTTATTGGTTGAAATGATAAATCAATTGAAGCTAGACCACCATGAAAAACCTGGAAGCACTGAACGGCCTCCGCCTGGAGTCCCTTTCCGGGGGCTACTGCCGGTCCCAAGCCCGGATAAAGGAGGAGGGTTGGGCATGGGGTTAGCGACCCCATCCCGTAGAAAACTAACTCGCTAAAAAAACACTAACCAGAAAGAATTATTCAAGTACTGAACGGCCATTTCGTCCTATTATAGGACTCCACTATGGCAGTGCGCATCCACGATCTCGCTCCTCGCGAGATTCCGACCCAGGACCTATCAGTCTCCACATAATCCCTTCTGATAATAAAAATCATCTGCACACTAGTGACTGACTTCAAGAGATACTTCTGGATTTCTAGTGAGAAGCCGTTATCAGTGGAGTTTAACCAGGTCTGTTGTGAGATATCAGCTCACTGTTTCGTCCTATTATGATCTAACCATTGAAATTACTAAAATCTCCACAAAATCCTATTTTGATATTAATCGACATATGCTCAATAGTGACTGGCTTCAAGAAGTATATCCTACAGTTCCAGTGAAAAGTAGTGACCAGTGGAGATCAACCAGGTCAGTTGTGAGATAGTAACTCACTGAAGAAAATGGTTGATGCGTCACTCAATACCGTGGATTAGTTGAAGTTAAACATTAACACCACTGGATGCCTGTCGGCTCAGTGATCTAGTGATTAAGTGCTCGTGTGCGAGACCGGTAGGTCCTGAGTTCGAACCTTGCGGGGGGGTGGTTGTGGATGCGCATTGCCATGGGGGAGTCCCATAATAGGACGAAATGGCCGTCCAGTGCTTTTGGGTTTTCCATGGTGATCTAGCTTCAATTGAATCATGATTTTAACCAGTGAAATTTCTAGAATTTTTACACAATCCCTTGTGATAATGATAATATTTTATTTTTTTTGGATTTTACACTTTTCAGAAATAGAAATTGAATCTGTTTACCATGTTCATGGGTTGTAGTTTTGGATTTTAGACAAAGTTTTCAATAATTATCCCCACTACTGATTTATTTTAGATAAACTAGAAATTCTGAAATTAAATATGTTTATCTAAATTCTTCAATAGTAGACGTCAACTGAGATAAATGGGTGTAGCTGCATTTGATGAAATAAAGGTTGAGGATTTTAACACTAACAATCGATTGATCTATTAAGTAATGTCTGAATGCTAGGAGATATTTTTTGACAGGTTGCATTCAATGATTGTCTTAATCCGTACAATGGACAGACATTTCCTTCTCATTTGGAAGTTGGTACGTTCTCTCCTACAGTAGGCTGTTGCTGATGGTATTCGGCAAACGAACATTGGGTATCTTCAGCCGACCATTGTTTAGAAACACTTGTACATTTTTGATGGTGGTTGTGGTAGTTCTTTAAGTTTCAATTCCGTACGGTAGGACTGTCCAGACGTTCATATTGAAGATTGTGACTTTAATATTAGTTGACAGTTGTCTTGAGTTCCATATGTTCTTCAATTGTAATAATGCTTCCCTTGTTTTACCAATCCTCGCCTTTACGTCTGCATCGGATCGTCCTTGTCCATTGATGATGCTGACCAGGTACGAAGATGTCTTCACCTCTTCCAAGGTTTCTCTATCGAATGTGATTGGCTTGGTTGTTCTCCGTGTTGAATTTGAGGATCTTGGTTTTCCCTTAATGATGCAGCGGCTGCTGCAACACTAGTTGTCTTCACCTGCATTTGTTGATGTGTATGTGATCAAAGGGTCAAGTCATCCGTTAAGTCTAGATCGTGTATTTGTTTCTAATCTATCGACTGTATTTCATGCTTCACCTCAGATATGGTGGCAGAAGAAAGAAGAAGGGAAAGAGTAAGGTGCCGTATCTGACTCCCATCCTTACTTTGAACGCGTCTTTCAGCTGTTCTGCATTCACAACGTTTCACTGTAGTCCATCGTATGAATTTCGTATGATGATGAAAAACTTCTCAGGTACACCATAGTGTCTAAAAAGTTCCCATAACATTCTCCTATCCACACTGCCAAACGCATTCTTATAATCAAGAAAGTTGGTGTTTACTGACGATTTCCACTTAATTGGCCGTTCAACAATGATCCATAGTGTCACGATTCGGTTTGTGCACGACCGATCCTTACGGAATCCCGTCTTTTGAGCTCAAAACTGGACGTGTACTGAATCTTTCATCCAGTTGAGCAACACTATTCAAAAGATTTCCTGATACCGATAGTAGTGTGATGCCTCTATATTTCTCACAACATCTCGGATCTTTCTTTGGTATCTTGATGAGGTGTTCTTCTTCCCAGTCTGTCGGTGGCACTTGTTCTCCCTCCCAAATCTTCCTGAATAAAATTTAGAGCATGTTAGCACATGTTTGTATGTGTGGCTTCTATCAAAGAAACGAATTTTCCTATAATCATTCTCCTGAGGTACACGTTCTCAAAGATTTATTCACCTGAATTTCCAGTAGCCGATCTCTTGTTAGATTGAGTTGTTGACCTAAATGACGAATATAATGTAGTTTTATTTGGTGAAGAGATTATAAAAATTAAGTATTCCAAACACCTCGAAAAACGATGCAAGAGTGTTCGAGATAGAAGTTTTTATTTTCAGTGTAAACGTTTTCTTCTATAATCATCTCCATCATTGCCTAGTCTAATTATAAGTAAAGAAATCGTCAAACACGCTAAGTGTCGGCAGACCTGAAATCGTGCACCACTTATAGGTTATGTTAATTTATGAAGTCATAGACTGTTTATCTGAGCTGTATATTATCAGAGTAAGTTTCGCACAATATTCCTAATCAATGATATTTTCTATGTTTAAGTTTTTTTCGCAAATACATATAAGCACTAGATGGTGGTTGGAGGTAGTCGACAGGAAACCCTGGAACCGGATTTCGTGCTACTTGGCACTCGTCAGCAAGGTGTACCTGTCATCTTGAGGGAACTGATGCCCCTTGACGGACAAGATCCAGTGTCACCCCGCTTCACAGTCAGAGACGTTAGCACTGAGCTATCCGGTCCGCGACCGACCTCCTGTAGGACTGAGATGTAATCATAATTGATTGATCACTGGGTGGTGATCTATGTCATGTGTGTCTAGTCCTTATTAGTGCAAATCGAATGCTATCGAGTGCCGAGTAACACGAATCTCGGGTCCAGGGTTTCATATCGACTACCTTCAACTACAATCTAATCTCACAATAATGCATGCAGTGTCGAGTCACCTAGACTGGTGGCCACATTGCAACATGATCGATAGCATTTGATCTGCACGAATAAGGACTTGGCAAGAATGATATTGATCATTACCCAGTGATCAATCAGTTGTGATAACACATATGCCATTATTATGATTTCGACTACTTTGCTACGTAATTTGTTAGTTTCATGTAATATTTATATCAGACAAACTAAAATTCGAAAGTTATTATTCATGTGAAAATTAAATGTTGCTAAGGTAAACAGGTAATTTATGCATAGATGATTTATGACAGAAATTGGAAGAAGTCGATCTTAACTATAACTTTTAAATCATCATTTCATCAACTAATCAGAGAAAAAGTAATAAATCTAATCATGTTACAAATTTTTAGAAGATTTAGTGATTGTTGCTTACTGAAGTAATGACTAAAGCGTCTCATATGATCATATTATTTACATTTAATTTTTATCGCTAACCAAAAAGAAACGGGTATGTCTTGTATTATATACAAATAACTTCTTTATTAACTTTATTCAAACACTATACCTTAATATTGAATAGTACTACTTACATTCAGATCTCTGAATAGAATACTTCTGTCAATAATGAATTAAAAAGTAGATATTTTATTCAACCATTTAAAAGTTGATTCATTCTCCATTAGGGTTTTTCTTTCTTTTGTTTCATATAAAGTTGAATTATCTTCAACCATTTTGTTTGTTTTGTTTTGTTTTTTTTTTGTTTTTCATTGAGCACTTGATTAGAACTTTTGTCAAGATCTTTGGTCATTTAGTTTTTGTATTCTTGATTTAATACTTCTCACACTATTTCTAGCTTCTTTTTGTTTCAAGATTTTTCCAGAATGAATTTTTGTTATAAGAGAGAATCTTTTACACTACTTTTTTTATTTCAGATATATGTGCACTTATTGTTTTCTAGTTTTGTAAGATGTATAACTGTCCGACTAAATACTGTTGGGAACGTTAGATCTCCAGAATTCAACAGGGAAAGGATCTAATTTTGTCATTTTATTTAGAACATTTGAATTTCTTTGTTTTCGAGCCAAAAGCGCTCTTGTCACCATCATGTCTTATTTCCCACCTCGGAAATATCTTAAATGTTATTGGTCCGTTGCGTCTTTTAGTATGCTATTTGGTAACTCTCCCCAAGGATGGTTTTGTACCATATATATACGTTTTGAATTGTGTTTGTTGGGATCGCTCGTTTCTAGCTGTTTGTAGAATATACTTTTCCATTCCAAGCTTAGACATCTTCCTGTAGTTAGAGGGGTTGGGACACATCAGAATATCTAGCTTATTGATCTTTTGTCACCGTATCTTTGTTCTCGTTTGTAGATTAAGTGAACTCGTAATAGCTTCAAACCTAGCATTTTCAATATTTGAATAATAAACTATTCATTCATGTAAATTTATAGTTAGTTATAATTTCACCGTTTGTAGACTTATTTTATTACATGAATAGAAATGAATTAATGGAATATAGACATCAAGATCTAGATTTTCATTATCAATCATAAAAAGTTAATGCTAACGATCAATGTTGTTTTGGATCCATCATGATTCTTTCTTTTATTGTTCTGTAATCTTTTTGACGAATACGAAATCGATCATATGCGATAACGAGCATATATAGATATATACATTTGAATAGAGATAATAGATCTAAACTAAATAAATAAAATGATTAGAATAATAACTATCCAAAAATTATGTAATACGTTTTGCATGAATAGTCATTTTAAGTGTACTATTAGTGAAAGAGAGGTGAGATAAATCAATGTAACAATAAACTAATTAGAAATTTCTAATACACTGATTGAATTTCTGACGTTTCGCGACAAAGTCGTTTCTATGGAGAATTTATGACCAAATCAAAATAACAAAAAAAAAATAAATTGTACAATAGTAAGTAATACAGTACCATATATATATATATATATATATATATATATATATATATATATATATATATATATATATATATATATATAAACGTTTTGAATTGTGTTTGTTGAGATCGCTCGTTTCTAGCTGTTTGTAAAATATACTTCTCCATTCCAAGGTTGAACTTCTTCCTCTAGTTAGAGGGGTTTAGACGCATCAAAATATCTAGCTTATTGATCTTTGGTCACCAAGTCTCTGTTCTCGTTCTCAGTCTAAATGAACTCGTAATAGCTTCAAAATTAGCAAAAACAAAAAAAATTGCTTAGAATAACCCCAAAACAATGTCATTGAAACGATCTGTTTTTATTTTCCCGGGAAAAAAATGTTTATTTACACATTTTTTTTTGTTTTTATTGCAAACAATCTATTGTTCATAATTATAATATACACAAGAGAAACAAAAGTTTTTGTTTATTTATTTAGAATGAATTCACTTTTCAATTGTTTTATGATTTGTTTTTCTTTTTTTCTTTTTTTCTTTCTTTTTTTTGATTTTTCACTTACCGATTGACTATTTTCATTGACAACTTGTATACAAAAATTTATTGAATAAATATTGATTTCGATCAATTAAAATAAGCATTTTTTTTTAAAAAAAAAATATTTTTTCAGTAATAAGGAAAATTATAGTTGGTCTCTAGGGTGTCATCATTGATAAATAATTATATTATTACTACTTATCGGAAAAACCAATATCATGATTTTACTTAATTGTTAATTCTGTTTATAAACAGATTTTATTATTATTATTATTATTATGATGATGATGATGATGATGATGATGAATCGCTTGTTTACTTTTATGTACTTATGTCAATAAACAATAATAAACTTTTATTTAAGTTATGAGATAACACATTTACATATCACAATTTATTTTGAGCTATAGAAAAATGTGTAAAAAATTTGAACTTTTTTTTGTTGATAACATTCTATTTCAATGGTTAGATCATGAGTCAATTGAAGCTAGATCACCATAGAAAACCTGGAAGCACTGAACGGCCGTTTCGTCCTATTATGATCTAACCATTGAAATTACTAAAATCTCCACAAAACCCCATTCTGATAATAATCACTATATGCTCAATAGTGACTGACTTCAAGAGGTATATCCTACAGTTCCAGTGAGAAGTAGTGATCAGTAGAGTTCAATCAGGTCAGTTGTGAGATAGTAACTCACTGAAGACAATGGTTGATGCGTCACTCGATTCCGTGGATTAGTTGAAGTTAGACATTAACACCACTGGATGCCTGTCGGCTCAGTGATCTGGTGATTAAGTGCTCGCGTGCGAGACCAGTAGGTCCTGAGTTCGAATCTCGCGGGGGGGGGCGAGTTTGTGGATGCGCACTGCCATTGGGGAGTCCCATAATATGACGAAATGGCCGTCCAATGCTTTTAGGTTTTCCATGGTGGTCTAGCTTCAACTAACTCATGATCTAACCATTGAAATTACTAAAATCTCCACAAAACCCCTTCTGATAACATTCTATTTATCAAATCATCAATTAGATAGAAGAAAACTTACTTACTTACGCCTGTCACTCCTCGTGAAGGAGCATAGGCCACTCACCAGCATTCTCCATCCAACCCTGTCCTGGGCAATGTTTTTCAGCCCTTTCCACTTTTTATTCATCCTTTTCATATCTGCTTGTATTTCCCAACGTGTAATGTGTTTTTCGATCTTCCACTATTTCGCTTCTCTTCAGGACTCCAAGTTAGGGCTTGCCTCGTGATGCAGTTTCATGACTTACGTAATGTATGCCCTATCCATTTCCATCATATTTTCATAATTTCCTCTTCAGCTAAAAGCTGGTTTGTTCATATATGTTCATATATGTGGAGATGTATACACAATTTATATGTGATGTAAATTATTAGACCTAAACAGGTTCATCCCATTCTATTCAGCATTCTAAAGTTTAAATAAATCATTATAAGATTGCTGGTTTTAATGTCTTAACAATAGTAGCATAAAACAATTATAGATTGAATTAGATAGATTAAATCAGTACATTTTTTTACAGCCATATACCTTATATGGCTATCTAGAGCTGAAGGTCTCATATGAGACTGGAGGTTCGCCATTCGTATTGTGGATGGCTCGGCATCGCTTCAGTAAATTTTGCTGAATGATCATGCACAAAATTGGTTTGCTGGTTAACCGATTTCATTCATACTAGTGGTTGCCTTACAGTGTTCTCAAGGGCCATTGTCATTGGGACATTGTAAGGCATGTCAATATTGTTAACATTAATGAGTTTGACTGTCGTGTAAGCGGAATAGGTCAACTTTGGCTTGCACAAGGGATTCACGCGATCGTTGATCGAAAGAATTGTTATACATGTGATGTGAATGTGTATATGAATGGTGAGAATGGTCCATCAGGGTGCTTGGTACCTGTGTATTTGCGCCACGGGTTTGAGCTGTACTATGCAGATTGTAACGTTGAAGCCTATACGGTGTCTGGTTCTCTCTTATGAAGCGGTATTAAGATGTACTGTTCGGGTTGCCACGTAAACGTCTGGATGGTGTCTGGTTCTCTTGAAAACCATTGTAAAATTACCTTGGCCCACAAGGATATATTATAAAACTGTGGTAGTGAAGTTATATAGTTTATATTATATCTTCTATGCGTATGATGGTTTATTGATTTTAAAATTAAAAGGGAACGATTTTGTTACCGTAGAATAAATGAATTCAATGGACATATAATCGTGAAAATTAAGCTGATGAGAGAAAAATATTTGAATATAGTATTATGTATAGAAGAACAAATGAAGAAATAACACCAAGAAATGTTCAAAAGGTTTAACAGTGCGAATCAGTCAAACATAACCTTCCATAAATTCATTCGGTGTTGTTTGCTTGTATCTTCCCATTGTTGTTTAGGACTGCAATCTATTAGTCACTTGTTGGCATATGTGCATTTTTTGAGGATTCCCTCGATATTATCTTAAGTCATAAGCATTATAAGAGAAGATTGATAGTGATTAGCAGTGGAATCCAGGACTCACAATACATCCTATTCGAGACTCGTCAGCTAGATGTACCTGTATCTCAGAGTTGATGTTCACTCTGGGATTCGAACCCACTACCGTTCGCTTGAAACTCCATTATGTTATCCACTTAGCTGCTGGGAAGATTCAAGTAAACAATACCAAGTAAATTTAAACTTCACTCCACTGTAAAAGCAAGTGGCTAAGTGGAGAACACGATGGCGTTTCAAGCGAATTTTACTGGGTTCGAATCCTAGAATGAACATCAACTCTGAGATACAGGTCCACCCAGCTGACAAATCCCAAATAAGACAAAACGCGCGTTTTGGATTCAACTGCTAGTCACTATCCATCTTTGATTATAACCTTCTATAGTTGCATCAATCTAAACTTAATGACTTGATACATGTATTTCTGTTACTAATATAGATTTTTTAATTAGATTTCAGTGGAACTTGATCCTAACTGTTTAAACATCTCCACCATCAATATATGAATCAACAATATTGTTTTCAATAAATTCTTTACAAGTTTTACAATTATATATATTCAAATGAATAATCCAAAGGGTGGTCAGGTTTATGGCAAATACATCGTTTAAAATTATAGTATGTGAATTCAGGATTGTTTATAGATTAAAAATTGCTAATATTCAGATAACTAATATTCATTGTTATCTTGAATAGGCTCATAAGTTAAATGAAATTATTAGATTCATCATTAGAATAAATGTAGCATGGCCTGCATTAATACTTGTATATTTGTTTGCGCTTGGATGAGCTAAACACGTCTTTTATGACATTTAACTGTCTAAGATAACCAAATTTAAACAACATAATTGTCAACTAAATGAAGCACGTTATTTATACGAATCTAGTAAGTTGGAAATATTAATTTACGATGAAATTATAATTCACTCAATTCATAAAATGTTTATCATCAAACTTCGTTAATGGACAAGTTTACAACTAATTGATACCGGGACCTAGGTTTCGTGCTGTTTGGCACTCGACAACATGGTGTACCTGTAATCATGAAACAACTGTTGTTTTCTGATCAACTCAATCCTCTGTCACACAACTTCACAGTCAGAGACGTTAACACCGAGATATCCATGCCACATATGACCTTAATATAGTGCACTCGACGTCGAGTTACTTTAATTAGAAACTGCATTGCAACTTAGTCGATAGAATTCGATCTGCACTAAGAATGACCTGACACACGGGACAGTGATCATTACATAATGGTCAACCAATTTTAAATAAAACTCAGTCCTACAGGAGATCAGTCGTGGCCCGATAGTTCATTGGTAACATCTCCGACTATGAAGCTGGGTGACAGGAGATTGACTCCGTCAACGAGCATCAGATCCCTTAAGATTACTCGTACGCCCTACTGATGAGTGTCAAGTGGCACGAAACCTTGGTTCAGTATTTGTTGCTGACTAGCATCTCAAATAGCTAATTTCTTTAATATGTCATCTAGCAGTATAAACTAAGGTCCATATACCTTGAGTCTAAATATTCGCAATTCATTGGTCTTTATTATAACAAACGTATTTTTACATCTTATTTTAGATATATCACACTACTTGATGAAGCTCGTACACTAGTGGATTCAACTAAAGATTTAATAGCACTTCGAGAGGATATGCAACAAATTCAAACGGTATGTATCATGGGAATTATGCTAGTTGTATATAAATCATTGTTATTAATCGAATACTACGTAAGACTTATATTATCTAATATGTTTCATGTTTTTATAACTACTCCGAAGAGACAAGTTAACAATATTATGTTAGTTATGTTATTTATTTTATTTTGTTTCATTTTAACACATAGATATTGGTACAAGGAGACACCAAATACATATGCGCCACACAAATCTCATTTGATTTATTTGAGGGCTGTGATACTGTCCAGGTGCCCAAACCGAAGCAGGTGGTTTTCTCAGGGGGCCACACCGCGAGCCTTCGACCTGAACGTCTGACCCACAAGGCAGTGGAGGAACGTCAGGAGATGCAGTCCCATGGTAGCCGGTTACCAACGATTGGTTCATACGCCATTTGTTCCTTCAGGATATTGGAGCCAGCCCATGTGCACCATTGGTTTGGAATCCGGTTAAAGCACCGGATATTCACTTTTCGTCCCCTCATTTTCGTAAACAACATCCTGGCCACGAGAATGCAGTGAGTAGGACTTCCCTGGTAGAGGCTATATACGCGTGGCCATGTGAGAACATTTGGAGAGGAAGAGTGGACTCTCCCCACTCTTGGCCGTACCAGGGCATTTGGAAGCGTTAGTTAGTTATGTTTAGCTGGTTAATTTGAGATAAGATTTTAGTGGACGATGTTTTGAAGAAAATCAGCAAAAAATTCAAATCTCCTTGTTGAATAAGAAATACCGGAAAATGAAGCGAATTCATTTTATATCGTGTACTTACAACCTTTCATAGAGGTACCTAATGTATAAATGTATTCTTGCTTTTGAATGTTATTTATAGAAATTTATTTGACAATAATTCATTTAACTAATACAAATAAAAGTAAAGATTATTTCATTATGATTATATGAGACTTTATTTTTAATAAATAAAATAATTTTATAGTATAAATGTAGTGAACGAGAACACAAGTCGGGACAATCGAACGTATTCGAATACAACATTGTAGAATATATTGCTAAAATATGAGAACCATACAGTAAATACTTCATTTGTAAAATATTATTCAGTTGTCTCCAATTTGATTGTTCCTTCATTTCTACACCAATCCTTCTCTGTTCTCATTGACTTTCTTCGATCTTCTTAACCTACTACCAGGCTTTTCACTTCCGATCAGTAATATATACTACTTATATCTGTCGATATCAGTAGCACACATCGCATAAATATTCTTCTTATTCAAAAACATTTTAAGTTGGCTATTTGTCTAAATTATACCAACATACGACGAAGCTATAATTTGTGGACGAACCAATCAGATTTAAGATAACAGGTCTTGGATTTTGGCACAAAATTTATTCACCCACTTGTCTAAATAGAGTTATGGTATTATAGCTGATGTCACAGTTCGTGATGAGAACTCATTAATTCTAATTTCAACTGTAAATCATAATTCTAATTCATCACACTAGTTTATAACCCTCATTTGGTCCTAATTATCAGGTGGACACTCTTAAGGTCATCATGGCCCCTCTCTCTCTCTAAGATCACCCATAGATTATTGTCTCATCCCAATATACTTATATACGAGACTAATATTAATAAACGTCAAAATTCCAATTATTTACTTCTGGATCTTGTTGAACCTACTGTTTCTTTTTTTTTTGTCTTCTGTCTAGAATATTAACAGATCAAATTTCAATGATACATCTAATCAGAATTTGTTCTTCTTAGTGAATGTGTAAATAAAAACTTTTTTTAAAAAAAAAAAATTATTCTCATTTTTAAAATGTCAATTTTCTTTATCTCAATGTCAAAAGAAAAACAAAAAAAAAGGATTTTCTATCAAAACAAATATGAAGAGGTTTATTCAATTTTCACATTGTAAATAAAAATTGAATAAGGAAAAACTTTCAAGTTCATGTGAAACTAGATCTTTTTTTTCACTAAAACTCTTATGTCATAATGAATATAAAGTGATTTGACATGAAAGAGGATAATCTTAAGTGAGGGAAATTTGTGGGACAAGTATATATATATATATATATATATATATATATATATAGTTGTACGTTTGTTAATCTAATGACCTGTCTTTTGGAAGTGATTAGTTTAATATAACTAGTTTGTCCACTTTTCTTTTTATTTATAAGGATCACTTGTGTTTATATATTGATATGATATGCCGAAAGTATATATATTTCTGTTTATACTACCAATGCTTAATGGATATAATATTCGATTGGAACAGATAGGTGGAAAAAAAGTGTATATATGTATGCACATACAAACATCTATGAATAGTGTAATCACTATGGAGATAAAAAATTCTATACACTAAATTGGCAAACATTTAAGGTCAAAATAAAATGATTTTTGTTGTTGTTTATATTACGTGTTATCTAATCATGTTATTCCATGTTATCATTATTCTAAATTCATTCACTATCCATTTATCTTCATAATCTATATTTATAATAAATAAAAAAATTTGCATGAAAATTTAATTTATCTCTAAAACTATAAACTATTTATAATAATTAATACAATCGAATGATTATTATTATGATGTTATTTTAATAGTCTGAATAATCAGTGATAACAGTTATCATTATTTATTAATGAAATGAATTTGATATTCTTATAAAAATTAAGAGTTCATCTCCCTTATTATTAATTCGTTGTTTCCATATCCCCCAACCCAACCCCAACCCCCCACCCCTAAACAAAAAATGATGATAAGCTTTCGTTAATCGATTATTTCTAGAACTTTTAATTAAGATGTTCATTGATAATGCAAACGATTTAATCCCTTTTAGGTGGAACACTTTCTTCTTTTTTTGTTTTTTTTTTTTTTTTTTTTGGTTTTATGAATATTTAAGAGTTAGAACGAAGTAATTACTCACTTTTATATGGATTCAAGTGAAACGTTTACTGATTTTATTTAGACATAAATTAAACAAAAAAATGGAAACGGCTTTTTTGTCTTAATATTGAACCCGTTAACTCATCATCTTAAGAATACCAAGCTGTTAGTCAATGGTTTACAATTCTGAATTAATATGAGTTACTAACCAAAAAAAAAATCCAAATTGTTCAGGAAATGATTTACCATTATACTATAACACCCTATAGGAATCAACAACCAGCTATTTATAGCCTTTTGTCCATTTGCACGCATTACAAAAGTATTTCGTGACAATATTTTATTGATTTACCTGTTAAAATTATTTGGTAACTGATATCTGAGATATTATACTGGAATAAAAGGATACAGTGTGCTTACGTTTAATCGATTGTTATTTTGATATGTTTATTAATTTACTATATATATATATAAACTTTTTTTTCATTTAGCTCCAAGAATGGCTTATAGAAAAGAAAGAACTTGCTGAAGAATACGATCAGGCAGGTAAACTATCAAATATAGGTTCACTGGTACCATACAAAGTATTCGTCAGTAAACAATATACACAGCATCGAGTACTTGAAAGTGAAATTGAATCTAATAATGATCGTATTAAACAGGTTTTTCAAGTAGGTTTTATTACAGAATATTAAATGACTGTTAACTTGATGAAATATCCGATTGATGTGTACGTTGTTAATTATTGTAGAAAATCATTTTACATAAATTATTTATGTATATGTAATTTTATAGCTCGAAGTTGAACTACTGAATGTCACACTCAGATTTCACATTTCACAAAATTAACTTGTTTCTTTAAGTTTTGAAGACGAGACTATAATTTATGGACGAATCAATCAGATATAAGATAACGAGTCACGAATTTGGGCGCGAAATTCATCTATACATTTGGCTAAGTAGAGTTTTGGCATTATAGCTGATGTCAGTTCATGATGAAAACCCGAAATCTAATTTTTAATTCAAATCATCAACTTTAAATGAGAATTCTATCTGTTTTATAATTCTGATTTACTCCTAATCAGTAGGTGTCCACCCTTAGAGTCACTTCAGCATCTCTCATAGGTCGTCTATAAATTATAGTCTCACGGTTTTTAAGTTCCAGTAGTTCGATGGTATTGATATTAAAGAGTTACATTATTGTACTTATAAACTCTCCGATACAACATTCTTACAACCAATTCTTAGGTAAGCTTCCTAACAGTAATGAATTGTTTGTGAGTGAACTAGGACTTATGAGTTATGAAATTTAATCAGTTCTTTACAAGTTTCACATAAATTTCAAAGTTTATTCTATCAATTATTCAGAGTATGTCTGTTCCAATTATGTTATCTGTAATACTATTATAAAACAGTTTAAGCTCAAATTCCATACTAAACACTATGTGTTCTATAAATTTAGGTCTTATTCTAAAAAAAACAAAAAATTCACATTCTTAGTGCTGATTTAATTTTTTTTTTAATTTTTTTTCCCATATCATTAATTCTAATCTCTAAAATGTACGAAATGATTGAGACGATGTTTTTTGTTGTTGTTGTTGTTGTTTTACAACCCAGTGATACAATACGAAAAGTATACTTGAATAATTTGTCGAAATGTATGACTTATATATATATATAAGAATACAGTTTTGACAAGATTACTATCACTGTATTTTACAATGATAAATGACATTACCCTATCTATACCATGTGAAACAAACTATCTAGTGACTAAAGAATAATTTACCATTTAATTCGTTTAGTTATTGTATAAAAAAAAGAAAAAAGATCTTTGAATGAATACTACTGTTGTAGTGAACAAGAACATGGGTGGGGACAATAAAATGTATTTGACAACAAATTACAGAACTAGTTAGTAAAATATAACAACCATATAGTAAATGGTCAATTTGCAAAATGTCCACCAATTGTCTCAAAAGACTGAGATTTCCTTTGTTCATGTATTTTCGTAAAAATTGCGTTCTGTTTTCATTCTTCACTGTTCAATCTTCTTATCTCTCTGCTGCCAGACATTCTGTTCATGACTAACATCATATACTACTTATGTCTACATAAGTAGCACACACTACACTGTTAGTTTTCTTAAGTATTTATTTAAAACTCATGACGATTATTTGAAGCTTATAGAAGACTATTTACTTACAGAAAAAAAATCAGGTAAAAATATCATCTAAGATATATTATGATTTTGCCGGTTAAAGACTACTGAAATCGGCCTATTTATGAAAGCGATTTACTACTACTACTACTACTACTACTACTACTACTACTACTACTAATAATAATAATAATAATAATAATAATAATAATAATAATAATAGTAATATATGTCATTACAAATACTTGGTTTAAAAATGCTTACTAGACAAGTATTTCAAGAGCAAAATCAACTAGCGTTTTTTTGCTATAGTAAATTGTTATATATATATATATATATATATATATATATATATATATATATATATATATATATATATATATATATGTTAGATAAACTATGGTGAATCTATAGCGTTCCTTATTTGCATGTGCCTATTTTGATGAATTAAAGTTATGTTTTCTTAGAAGATATATAAATAAAAAGATGAAATAGGATCTAATGGTTCATATTTACTTACAAATTACTTACTCTTGTTACTCCTTGTGAAGGAGCATAGGCCGCTTATCAACATTCTCCATCCAACCCTGTCCTAGGCAATCCTTTCCAGCTCTTTCCAATTCATATTTATCCTTTTCATATCTGCTTCCGATTCTCGATGCAGTGTGTTCTTTGACCTTCCTCTTTTCCGCTTCCTTATAGGATTCCATGTTATACTTAATGGAATAATGTCAATCAGTTATTTTCATAATTTTAAATTTCCAAAAATTCGACATAATATTTAACAATATACAGATCAATGACATAATCGTTAGGTAATTCTGAAGACAAACTGTATTATTAAAGAAATTATGAATATCTTGAATAATTCTAACAGATAATTCTCATCCTTAACTTTTTAATCATCTAACATCTAATTTTTGTAAATAGAAACTGATTTATGCTTTAATGAGGAAGACTATCTCAATAGTTAAATGTTCATTCTAATGTAGTGAAAATAGATTTTGTGGGAGATAACAAAATTAATGAACGAGGTAATTCTACTTGTTTCATTTACAAACTATCATACCATTCCATTATTTCTTTGAAGCTGTCAACCAGTATCAAGTGCTCAGTTGCCACTCTGAATCCTAATTTTATTTCGTACTGTTATTTACTCTACAGATTATTGTCTTTGAATTAAACAGGTACTAGACCAACCAGCACTAATATGCTCGAATCGACAGTTATGTTCCTATTAATTCACTAATTGCTTACTTCTCTCTATGCCCAGTCTTATGTCCGGAAGTTGCAACCAGCTTTTACTGAATTTATTTTGTGCCCACAAATGCCCTGCTACAGCCGAGAGTGGGGAGAGTCCGCTCTCCCTCTCCAAATGTTCTCACATGACCACGCGTATATAGCCTCTACCAGGGAAGTCCTACTCACTGCCTTCTCGTGGCGGGGATGTTGTTTACGAAATCGAGAACACGAAAAGCGAATGTCCGGTGCTTTAACCGGATTCCAAACCAATGGTGCACATGGGCTGGCTCCAATATCCTGAAGGAACAAATGGCGTATGAACCAATCGTTGGTCACCGGCTACCATGGGACTGCATCTCCTGACGTTGCTCCACTGCCTTATGGATCAGACCTTCAGATGAAAGGCAAGGGGTGTGGCACCCAAGAAAACCACCTGTTTCGGTTTGGTCACCTGGGCAGTATCACAGCCTTCAAATAAATCAAGTGAGATTTGTGTGGCGCATATGTATTTGGTACCTCCTTGTACCAATATCTATGTGTTCAAATAAAATAAAATAAAGAATTTATTTTGTAACAATTGTGGTTTATATTCAAATATACCAGAGAACATGACACTATAAAATTAAATATAATAAATATACATGAACAATCCAAAATGTCTTTGAATAGAGAAGACTGTACATATTCGTCTGACAACGGATTAAGAAGATTAAACTGTATATCAGTAATGAATGAATCAACCAAAAGCTTATAATAAATGACATATATTTATTCCTCGTAATCTAGTTATTCAATAATTGTATCAGAAAATGACAATTAATGATTATTCGCAAAAAACAAGTCTCAAGTTCAATAATGTTCTTTCCATTATAACACATCGTTAATGAATATAGTTCGTGTAACCATAGATTTTTTCCCCTTTTGTTTCCTAATTTGATCACATTTATTTATTGTTTTTTGAAATAGAATGTAGTCAATACCATTGTACAATATCCACGTATTGCGGATCAATTGAGTGAATCACTTGGTGATTTGATGATTCTATGGGAGAGTCTACGTAAATTGATACGGGAAAGAGGTGATTATATGGTTCAGTTACATAGGGGTATGTTAACTGTTTTATATCTAGTTGTATAATTAGTTAATTCTGGGTCTGGTTGTATAGTTTAATTAAATGTGTCCCTTTTTATTCATTATAACTAACACTCAACTCCGAATATAATCAAGTCAGTTGTTGTTGTTATAGAATATATTCTTCAATTAGTCGAAATTATACATTCAAATGCCATAGAGCATAATAGATATCTAACTCGAAAAAGATTTTCAAGAGGTATATAAATACAAAATACAGATCAATTCATCGAAAACTGAATACTTGACATTTGGTTTTAGCTTTTTAACCCCTTACCTAAATATACCCAAAAACATTTGGTCAAAATGACAATCAGTAGTTTAGGTATAAATCTTCAAAGATGGTTTCATTTCATAATAATGGGTAGAATTACTCATTTTTTGGTTTGTTTCTATTCGCATAGATACATAACTTTCTTTGAGTAATAATAAAGCACTTCACCGGTTAATTCGCGGTTGGGGACGTTAGATCCCCAGAACTCAATTGGGAAAGGATCTAATTTTGTCATTTTATTTAGAAAATTTGAATTTCTTTGTTTTCGCGCCAAAACCGCTCTTGTCACCATCATGTCGCATTTCTCACCTCGGAAATATCTTAAATGTTATTGGTCCGTTGTGTCTTTTAGCATGCTATTTGGTAACTCTCCCCAAGGACGGTTTTGTACCATGTTTATTTACGTTCTGTATTGTGTTTATTGGGATTGCTCGTTTCTGCTTGTTTGTAGAATATACTTCCCCATTCCAAGCTTAGACTTCTTCCTGTAGTTAGAGGGGTTGGGACACATCAGAATATCTAGCTTATTGATCTTTGGTCACCGTATATTTGTTCTCGTTTGTAGATTAAGGGAACTCGTATATTTATAGTTAGTTAAAATTTTACCATTTATAGACATATTTTATTACATGAATAGGAATGGATTAATGGAATATAGACATCAAGGTCTAGATTTTCATTATCAATCATAAAAAGTTAATGCTAACGATCAATGTTGTTTTGGATCCATCATGATTCATTCTTTTATTGTTCTGTAATCTTTTTGACGAATACAAAATCGATCATATGCGATAACGAGCATATATAGATATATACCTTAGAATAGAGATAATAGATCTAAACTAAATAAATAAAATGATTAGAATAATAACTATCCAAAAATTATGTAATACGTTTTGCATGAATAGTCATTTTAAGTGTACTATTAGTGAAAGAGAGGTGAGATAAATCAATGTAACAATAAACTAATTAGAAATTTCTAATACACTGATTGAATTTCTGACGTTTCGCGACAAAGTCGTTTCTATGGAGAATTTATGACCAAATCAAAATAACAAAAAAAAATAAATTGTACAATAGTAAGTAATACAGTACCATATATATATATACATATAGACAGTCCTAGAAATTTAAACTATAGTAGTGATACTTATAAACAAGAGTTTGGAAAGAATTATTGAATAAAATATTAAGTTTTTTGTCATTAATTAAAGGATACACTTGTTTTAAGTTTAGTTGCAATACAAAAACCTATGGTTGTTAGCCTGGATTCAAAGCAAATTAAGAAAATTGAGATATAAACGACTAATTATTCTGAATGATTTAGTCTTATCTGTTATATGATTAACTAAATATAATGAAAAAGTGCTTCTATTTTAACATTTTCGAGTCACTTGGGAAAATTTGTGCTGGGTTGATGTTTCCCGTTATTCGTGATATAATTTGGTTTGCGGAGACAATGATATAACTGTGATACTTTTGACAAAATTGTGTTTTCACATATCGTTAGTTCTCTTTTTACCCGTTTAGCTCTAACAGAATCGGTGAGACTATAATTTATGGACGACTTTTGAGCGACTATGAAGTGACCTTGAGACTGAACAACTACTAATTAGGACTAAATAACGATTATAAAATAGTTAGAATTCTCATTTACATTTGATGATTATAATTAAAAATTAGATTTGGGGCTTTCATCACGAACTGACATCAGCTATAATGCCAAAACTCTACTTAGCCAAATGTATTGATGAATTTCGCGTCCGAATGCGTGACTCGTTATCTTATATCTGATTGATTCGTCCAGAAATTATAGTCTCGCAACAGAATCTAATCCATGCCTTAAGTACTTTCTATAACAAAGAGCATAAAGATAGGTCTATGATGAGATCACTGTTGGATCCACTTCTGGTGGATTATTTTATGACTAAATTTGAGAGGACATTCAATAATTTTTTACGAATCAAACATGCTTCAGCATGCTTAAAATGAAGATAATTAAATACATTAACTGTCAGCAATGGGTTGTGGAGATTGTTGAGATTCATTGCAATCATGAATCGATCAATTTCAGATCACCACTGGAAACCTGGAAGTGCAGAACTGCAGTTATGTCCCATTACGGGAGTACTTTTGAGTGAGAACCGATGATCCGCTCGAAACAACCGTCCATTGTTTGCAAGTTTTTAATGGTAGTCCAGCATTGATTGGTTCATGATTTTATTGAAACATATAAATGTTTGTGCTATTGTTTTGACTAAGCTAAATGAAATGAAATAAAATGTGAAGTAATGTTTAGGTTTACTGAATAATCCTTAATTGCTATTAGACTGCTAACTGTATTCCATCTTCTATACTTAAAATGTCCAAGTATTCAATAATTTTGATGTTTGATTATAATTTCTTGAAAAGCTTGAACCAAATTTTCGAGCGAAACTTTGGATTTATCCATAGTTTAATCATTGAAAGTTTTATAAATCTAATTCTATTCCCTTAAATCCCCAAGTACTTTTAGAGAACAACCTTGAACTTGCATTTGGACTTGTTTGCACGCTCTAGATTCACTATATAATGTATCGAATCAGATATTACTCATATCACTGTACGTTATGAAGTAATAAGACTCACTACTAACACTTGAATTGATATACAGTAAAACGTGTTTAAGCCAACGTATTTATTGTGTAAACTAGAGATCCTCAGATAATGTTTAAAATCAAAGAAAGATTTCGAAGTGCCTAAGTATTTATGAACCAACTAACCTCGGGAATGTAAACTTCTGAATCTATAAATATGTAATATAACGGCCGACGTAAGGCATCCATACGTTGTTGTTTTATCGGAGCATATTTTTTAGATTACTTACGCCTGTCACACCTCAAAAAGAAGCGTCACTCGCCCACCAGCACTACCCACCGAAACCTGTACTGCGAAATCCTTTCTAGTTGTTTCCAGTTGCTATTCATCCAGACCAACGTGTTCTTCGGCGTTCTTATTTTCTGCTTCCGATAACACTTGCCTCATGGTTCAGTTTGATGATTTCCTCAAGGTATATCTCAACCACCTCCAATGTCTTTTCACAGTAGGCTATTACTAATGGCATTCAGCGAACAAACATTGAGCATCTAGCGTAGACAGTTGTTTAAAAACACTTATATCTTTTTGATGATGGTTGTGGCAGTTCTCTAAGTTTTAGCTCTGTACAGTAGAACTGTCTTGACATTTAATTTGTTTGGCGTCTTTTTAGCGAGATGGAATTAACGACCCCACGTCCAACCCTACTTCTTTACGCGGGCTTGTGATCGACAGTAACTCTGAAAGAGCTGCAGGTGAAGTTGTATTTTGTAATTTAGTAAATTCTGACTAAAAACAGCACGATCATGTGAATCTAATAAATATGTTCGAGTTTAAATAACTTAATTAATTTAGTTCTTCCAAATTTCAACAATCTAATTAACAATCATTTGGATACTCAATTTATTTCATTTCACGTATTACGTAATCGCTTATTAGATATATTGAATATTGTTAATAATTGTGCTCATTTTTTTTTTATTTCTCTCACTTTTTACCTTACGAATATTTAATTCAATTATTATTCTCAAACTTTTATTTGTTCAACAGCTTGATAAGAGTCTGCTTTTAAACTGTGCTGAAAAAACTGTATGTCGAAACAGAATTAGTTGTTAACTTAAATTATCCCTCATTTAAACATAGCCACTTGGTTCATTGTTTAAGCAACAATGATTAGGAGACTAGTAAATGATAAAAACAGAAGGCAAGAGGATGTGCCGAAGTAAAATAAAATAAGATAGTGGAAGTATAATTAGCTGGTGTAACCACTAAGATTGGATCAAACAAGAACTACAAATATGATTTTCTGTAGATATGTATTATGTTTTTAGAATTGATCAGGATGAATTTCATCGTACAATGGAGACATTATCATGGACATTTCACTAGATTACTTATGACCAAATACAACATCTATAAAGTGTGCTTTTATGATAATAAACTATTCACGAACTCTAATTTCATTCAGATTTTATTTTACGCGTAAATCTGGCCTAATTTGAATTCTTATTTAATAATTGAGTTCATGAGTCAATTGAAGCTAGATAACCATGATAAACGTGGAAGCACTGGATGGCCACTTCGTCCTAGTGTGAACATTCACAATTCTGTCTCGCAAGTTTCGAACGCAGAACCTATCGGATCGTTGGATCTCAACTCAGTGGTCTACAGGTTAAGCGTTCGCATACAGGGCCGATAGGTCCTGAGTTCGAATCTCGCGAGCGGGATCATGGATGTGCACTGCTGAGGATTCTCATACTAGATCGAAGCGGCCGTCCAGTGCTTCCAGGTTTTCCACGATGGTCTAGCTTTGATTAATTCATAAATATTCGATGTTAAAAATCAGTAATTTTATGATAATTTTTATCAGAAATAAATCAAGTTGCTTCATCAGTCGAGTTATATTATTCCCAAAATACTTTTTATCAAAGATAATATTCATTATAGAACAAGAGAGTTTTGTATAAACTAGTTCAATACAACATTACAACAACAAAAAATGGACTTCAAACTTAATGTTACGCTTTTACAGGCATTTTTAAATGAAAATTCTAATGATTTTCATTCTAAACTTTATTTGACAAAAAATGGGCACTTTGAATGCTAGATTCGAAAATGTAATCTATTTTTGGCTAAAAATTAATCAAATTTTAATTGTTAACCAATGAAATCTATCAAGATCTGATTTAGAATTTTAATCTCCACTAAACCTCATTCTGATAATAATCAACACATACTCAGTAGTCACTGACTTCAAAAGGTATATTCTGGAGTTCTGTTGAGAAGCCATGACCAGTGGAGTTCAACCGGGTCAGTTGTGATTTAGTAACTCTACTGATGACAATGGTGGATATGTCGCTCAATTTTGTGGATTAGTTGAAGTTAGACATTAACACCGTTGAATGCCGGCCAGCTCAGTAGTCTAGTGGTTAAGTGCTCGCGCGCGAAACCAGTAGGTCCTGATTTCGAAACTCGTGGGGGGGGCGATGTTGTGGATGTGCACTGCCATGGAGAAGTCCCATAATAGGAAGAAATGGCCGTCCATTGCTTTCAGGTTTTCTATGGTTGTCTAGCTTCGAATGACTCATGATCTCAACTATTCAAAAGATCATTGATATATATATATATATGATTAGACTCTTGCTGAAGTTTATATTACTTTGATGATATTAGATTGTAATTTTATTTCTTTTTTTGTTTGTTTGTTTTTTTTTCTTTAACAATTAGCAATTATATTTGAAGATGGATGTAATGAATTAAATCATTGGTTAGATAAATTTTTTATAGAATATTTATCTTTTAAATCATTTAATCAATTAAAACAATTAAAAGAACATATTGAACAAGATTCATTACAAATGGTTGAAAATTTCATAGAACAATTAACATTAGAATATAATCATATAAAATTGATTGAAGGAATAGAATCATCAAGTGAAATATTAGAATATCTTGTACAAAATAAATTTATCAATCAAATTTGGACAAATAAAGCTAATATACCAGGTTATATTAGTATGAATGAAGTATCATTACATTTGAATAAAATGATTGAATATTTAACTAATATTGATGTAAAGAAAAAACTTTTAGTTGAACTACATGTAAGATGTAATTTATTTTGTTTGTTTGTTTGTTTGTTTTTTTTTTGTATTTTTTCAGTGTTCATCAATATGTTTTTATGTTGTTGGTTTTTATAAATTTTAAATGTTTAAAAGCCTTAGATACATGTATTCAGACTAAATACCATTAATTGATCTCATATTCAATTATAATAAACATTACTTTTGTAAACATCAAATAGGAAGCTATTAAACCTGTACTTAATTATCATTCCTTAGTGTTATACGTTTATGAGAATTTATTTTCTGATGATAACACTATAGTATGTACTAAGTTAGATCAATAGAATTTAGAATTACCCAACATTAGCAGGCTACCATTCTACTATTTTGTCAATTTCATATGTCACGGACATTAGATCAATTTTATGATGTTAAGTGGTAGAGTTGGGTAGTATCATCGATGAACATGGTGGATCTAATGCATATGTGAAGGCACGGGTCGAAAAAGCAAAAGCAGCATATTTACAACTGAAGAACATCTGGAATTCAAACAAAAAATGGCAACTAACACCAAAGTCACGATTCTCAATACAAATGTCAAGATAGGTCTACCACATAGAGCGGAAACTTGGAGAACTACAAAAGCCATCATCCAAATGATACAGGTGTTTATTAACAGTTGTCTACGCAAAATACTTCGGATCCATTGGCCGGACACTATTAACAACAACCTACTATGCGATAGAACAAACCAGATCACAGCGGACGAAGAAATCAAGAAAAAGCGCTGGAAGTGGATAGGACACATATTGAGGAAAGCACCCGACTGCGTCACAAGACAAGACCCCATTTGGAATTGTCAAGGTCAAAGGAGAAGAGAAAGACCAAGGAACATATTACAACGGGAAACGGAAGCAGATATGAGAAAAATGAACAAGAATTGGATGGATCTAGAAAACAATGCCCAGGAAAGAGTGGGTTGGAGAATGCTGGTCAGTAGCCTATGCTCCATTACGAGTAACTGGCGTAAGTAAAGTAAGTGGTATATTATAAGGAAAAAGGTAATCGTTTTAAAGATTGTAGATGGTAACACTTGTTTTGTTTTGTAAGTTTAACTAATCATTTATTATTTGTTTTCATAATAAATAGTAGTTTACTTAAAATATATTAAAAGATCAGAATTTGTACTGATATTTTCAAGATAAGTTTTAGCCTACAATTTATGCAAGATAATAACTACTCAGTAAGTTGATATTATTGTTGTCATTGTGGAAACCTTAGTTTCCTTATATGTTGACGATGAAAATTTCTAAAATATTTCTATTCGTAACGATAAAATATATTTTGTCGTTTTTAATTAAACTATCCAATGATTCTAGTTAAATAATGTCATTTACATCAAGGAATAGCTCTTAAGTTACCTGATTGATTAGAATAGCCACTAAAGTATTTAGATGTTCTTAAAACTGTCTAGTGTTTCATAACAAAGTCGATCAGCTGTACTTTTACCTGAAGTTTGTACTGATGAGGTCGTTCAGAAGAACAGTGAAAGCTCTAAGGCAAAACCATGCAGCTCCGATAATAAAGCTGTACAATCAATTATTTCATGAATATTTCAGTTTTATGGAAGTTTTTTAAATGTGATAGTCAAGTTACTCACTGAAAAACAATTAGGATAGGATTCATAGATATAACTAAACTGTAATATTTTTTAATGATATAAATTATTTGTCAGTAACCATTTTAGTGAGATAATAGCAAGTTTTAATATTAGACTAGGCATTATAGTATGCCTTTTTATCATCGATTATTCTATTGACAAATATGCCGTTTAATGATTCTCAGTTTTTTAACATACGATTCACTAGAAACAAATTTTACCTACGCGATATTAGCAATGACCAGTAATAAAATATATTAATGATAAATAAGAATTAATACAATGATACAATAATAATATTGTTACAGATGAATCAAGTAAATGAATTCGATCATAAAATCCTTATACTTTATATTATAATTCTTATTTTTAATGGTAAACAATTTCGTATTTCAATTGTTGATATTATGGGTCAATTGAAGCTAGATCACTACAGAAAACCTGAAAGCACTACAAGGCCGTCTCGTCCTATTGTGTGACTCCTCCATGGTAGTGCGAATCCACGATCTCGCCGCCCCCTCGCGAGATTTGAACGCAGGACCTATTAGTTTCGCGCGCAGGCGCTTAATCAACTGAGACCACTGAGCTGACATTCAACGGTGTGAGTGTCTAACTTTAACTAATCCACAAAAATGAGTGACATATCCACTATTGTCATCAGTAGAGTTACTAAATCACAACTGACCCAGTTGAACTCCACTGGTCATGGCTTCTCACCAGAACTCCAGAATATACCTCTTGAAGTCAGTGACTACTGAGTATGTGTTAATTATTATCAGAATAGGGTTTTGTGGAAATTTTAGTCATTTCAATTGTTGACATCATCAATCAGTTGAAATGACTAAAATCTCCACAACCCCCCCCTCTTCTGATAATTTCTTATTTTCCAGAACAAAAAATGTTACAAATTATCATAATTTTATTAAAAATCAAACTTTTTTTTAAAAAAAATTTTTTAATTTTTTTTTTCCTATTTAAAAAAAAGGAAAAGTTTTTATTATTTTATTATTTCACCTTTTAAATTGATTTCCTAAACAAAACAAAACAACATTAACCTCCCTTTCAATAGTATGAATTCATTTTGTTACCCTTTTGACAATATAATAAAAATTATATATTATATGATACATTATAGAATCAATCAATGTACAATTTATTTATTAGTCAATAATCAATAGTTATTCATTTTCATTTTCTTTTTTTTTTCTTTTGTCGTATAGAATAGATTTTTTAATTTCCTGTTCAATGTTAAAGACTTTTATTACTTTCTATTCCATACAAGTACACAGTTAAATAAATGTTGATGTATTCAATCAACATTTTAAAAGTAACTAATGATTAAAAGTGTTTTGTTATATAAAATACGTCAGTCATTAATAAATAATAATAAGATAAACATATAATTTTCTTTAAACTAATGAATAAGGTATTCGAATAATAATAAAAAGAATGAAACTTTTTTTCATTATCAAAATGATCTTCTCATAGATCTGTGTTATGTATTTGTTAAATGTTCCAATTGAACTAGATAACTTTCTTTGTTCAAATTTACATTAACTAAAGAATTATCTATATTAGCTATATGTATTCATGATTTGAATAAAAACATTAGAGTTTATTACGAAGCTAATTTATTACAAAATACAAGTTGAACTATTTGTAGATGTTATGATGAATTCCTTTTAATTTTTCCTTTAAACAAAAATGAGAAACAATACTATAATTTCTAATTATATGTAAAATTTTTCTGAGTGGAACGGTTGTCGATTACATAAATCATGCCCTCAAAATACCCTGGTATGGCCGAGAACGAGAAGAGTCCAATCACTCTCTTCAAATGCTCTCACATTGCTAGGGAAGTCCTACTCATTGCCTTCTCGTGACAGGGATGTTGTTTACGAAATTAAGAGGACGAAAAGCGAATGTTCGATGACTTAACCGAGTTGGTAGACATGGAGAGTCCATCTAGGGAAGTTGGATAACCGTGGTTCCAAACCAATGGTGTACATGGAATCCAGTATCCTGATGGAACAAATGACGTATGAACCCATCGTTGGTCATCGGCTACCATGGGACTGCATCTCTTTACGATGCTCCAATGCCTTGTGGATCAGACCTTTAGGTCGAAGGCTCCGGATGTGGTCCCTTAAGAAAACCACCTGCTTCAATTTGGGCATCTGGGCAGTATCACATCCTTTGCACAAATCAAATGAGATTTATGTGGGGCATATATATTTGGTGCCTCCTTGTATCAATATCTATGTGTTCAAATAATAATAATAATACATAAATCATAAAATTTAACAATTGGTGATAATTAAACAAGATTCATTTCATTCAACATACCAAATCGTATGGTGAAACGTATTCCAGTAAATTACATAATGATTTCAATAATTAAAAAGAGTGTAAAGCTAGACACATTCAATCATTAACTTTTACTGCCAAAATGATTTAATTATATCATTATCAATAAATTAATCATTAAATTGTTTGTGGATAATAATAAAATAACAGGTTTTATTTGTAGTACTTCTAATGAGGGGGATAATTCACATGGAAATACTATAAATTACATTATAATTATTATTCAATAATTAAATTTGATAAATTTTAATCTGTCATTAGTTCTTTTTTCTTTTTTTGTATTAGTATTGCTAATTAGAGTAAAAGAAAACTAATCATACCATACATAATTCATAACGATGAAAGAAGAGTGTTAGGAAAACTTTATCATAAAATTTGTAATATCGTATAAAATGAGTTAAACTGTTGCCATAGGTTAGTAATTGATTTCGGAAATATTTTAAACGACCGCATTATGAAATTAATCAAACTGTCAACTTACTTACTTACGCCAGTTACTCGTAATGGAGCATACGCTACCGACCAGCATTCTCCAACCCACTCTGTCCTGGGCATTTCTTTCTAGTTCCATGCAATTCTTGTTCATTTTTCTCATGTCTATGTCCATTTTCAGGCATAATATGTTCTTCGGTCGTCATCTTTTCCTTTGACCTTGACAAATCCAAATGGAGGCTTGTCTTGTGACGCAGTTGGGTGCTTTCCTCAATGTGTGTCCTATCCAATTCTTTTCGTTAAGAATGGAAATATTTTAGAAATTTTCATCCTCAACATATAAGGAAACTAAGGTTTCCACAATGACAACAAGAATATCAACTTACTGAGTAGTTATTAACTTGCATAAATTGTAGGCTAAAACTTATCTTGAAAATATCAGTACAAATTCTGATCTTTTAATATATTTTAAGTAAACTACTATTTATTATGAAAACAAATAATAAATGATTAGTTAAACTTACAAAACAAAACAAGTGTTACCATCTACAATCTTTAAAACGATTACCTTTTTCCTTATAATATACCACTTACTTTACTTACGCCAGTTACTCGTAATGGAGCATAGGCTACTGACCAGCATTCTCCAACCCACTCTGTCCTGCACATTGTTTTCTAGTTCCATGCAATTCTTGTTCATTTTTCTCATATCTGTTTCCATTTCCCGTTGTAATGTGTTCTTTAGGGTTTCTGTTTTCCTTTAACATTGAGGATTCTGTGTGAGGACTAGTCGGTAAAATAAAAACGCTAACCAAAATAAAAGAATTATTCGAAATTATTCAAGTCGAATTGTCAAGCTTCTATATTTTCTTTATACAGTTTTCATATTCAGTATATTCTTAGATGTTAAAGAAATCATATGTTATTATATAAAACATTATATTACATAATGTTCACTGATGATAATTTGTACTGACGAAAACAATATTGTGTTCTATAGAACATATTAAGCCAAAAATAAAATGGTTCTACATATAAATATTTCCGTTTATTAATAGAATAGTATTTTCAATCTGTTTTTTTTTCTTGCACAGTATGTAGATACAGAATAGTTATGATCATAAAAGATACTTGAATAAGTATAAATCAATAATTCGATATTTTGTTTTAAATAATTAACATTGTTTTGTTTTATTCATTTGATATTGTTTTACTTGAATCTTCCCATTGTTGTTCATTAGTCTCTTATTGGTATATGTGCATACTGTGCGTATTGCCTTGGTGTTGCCTTAATTTACAAGGATTATAAGCAAAGATGGATAGTGGCTAGTAGTGGAATCTAGGATGCGCGTTTCGTCTTATTTGGGACTGATCAGTTGGATGTACCTGTATCTTAGAGTTGATATTCATTCTGGGATTCGAACCTAGTACCATTCGCTTCAAACGCCATCGTGTTATCTAACTAGTTACTGATTCCTAAGGTGAATTAAACTTCACCCCATTGCACAAGTAAGTGACTATCAGGACTCAGTAGCTAAGTGGATAACGTGATGGCATTTGAAGTGAACGGTACTGGGTTTGAGTGCCACAGTAAACATGAACCCTGAGATACAGGTACACCAAGCTGACAAGTTCTAAATAGAACGAAATGCAAATCCTGGTTTCCACTACTAGCCACTATACATTTTTGCTTATTGTGTTTTTCGGTTTAAAAGTTAACATTTCACATAAATATTAGTGAATGAAATAAATTCTGAAGATCTAAGATAAATTTCTTTAAACTTCGATAAAAAAAGTTTTTATTAGAGATAAAATATAATGAACATAAAACACTTGATCATCAAATGATTGAACTATCTGTTATCTACATTTCTCTAGCAATAGTGACATAATGAACATTGACAATAAAAAAATATTGATCTTCTGCACAGTAAGATGTTAGTTCTTTTCAAAAAGACTTAATCGTTCACTTTTTTTTGTTTTGAAATGTTTCTTGATCATATAGTTTAAAAATAGATATATTGATTCACTTGGTATGGTTTTGCTTGTATCTTCCTATTGAGTGGATAACACGATGGCATTTAAAACGAATGGTACTGGGTTCGAGTTCATCCTAGAGTGAACATCAACTCTGAGATACAGCTACATCCAGCTGATGAGTCCCAAATAGGACGAAACGCGCTACTTCGATTCCACTGCTAGCCACTATCCATCTTTGCTTAAAAAAAGATATGTTGATTGCCTAGATGTCCTTGAATAAAAAAAAGCAATAAATTATTCATTTTTCATCAAACCAACTTTTTGTTCGACTGTAGTAAATGACATGAGATATATTAATACATGAAATAGTTGATATTTAATTACAATGATTAGTGTGGATATTGAATTTCAAGCTGTTATTTTCAACACTTTTTATGATATTGAAAGTATCCTATATTTTCTTGTAAAAATTTTTTTGATTTTTTTAAAAAAGTGGCTTAAATTAAAGTTTATAATTCACTTTTGATTTGTTCCATTATTTTCACATTCACAATAACATTTTAATATCAGAAGAGGTTTTGTGAAGATTGTAGTAATTTCAATGGTTAAGATCATGAATCAGTTGAAGCTAGACCACCATAGAAAGCCTTGAAGCACTGGACGGCCATTTCGTTCTATTGTGGAACTCCTCCTTGGCAGTTCGTATCCACGACCACGAGATTCGAACCCAGGGCCCACTGGTTTCGCACGCGAGCACTTAACCACTAGACTACTGAGCCGGCATCCAACGCAGGGGGCGAGGTCGTGGATGCGCACTGCTGAGGAGTCTCACAATAGGTTTTCGATGGTGGTCTAGCTTCAAATGACTCATGATCTTAACCATTGAAGTATTTTAATACTGGTATACTTAATAACTGTATATAGTTTGTCAGTCAAATTTTTGTACAAATTGATGAATATAAAGTTTGCTTCATAAAAGAAAATGTAATAAACCGATATTTATTTATATCACACTTATTATTGATCATATGCTTCCTTTTTTACACTTTACACACTTTGAATGAATACACTAGCATTGCTACCATAGTCATTGCTTAAAGGTTTCCGAATTATATTATAACTCTACTCCTACACTCCTTATGAAAATTAATAACCATACAAATTTACAATGAAACGATGTCTTGATCTGAATAGTATTCATCTATATACACTATTTTGTGTTGCAAAGATTTTTTTTTAATGTGCTGGTTGCCATGCAATCATTTCATGATTCCGCTATATCTTCATATATTGTTTAATTATCATATACTCTGTGAGTAAATGTCATCATTGTTGTGTATTATTATGTTTGATTAAGATCCTAATAACTGATATACGATACTGTTCTGCACAATATCGATATATATATATATATATATATATATATATATATATATATATATATATATATATATATATATTACTTACATCAAAATTTTACTAACGAACAAATGTACAAGTCAAATCACTAATCACTTCAATTTATGATATGTATTCATTAGAAAGCTAAAAGTGGTATCGCAAATAGTGATAAATGCCTTAAAGACAGAACAGAAAGTCAAATGTCTACATATTTCTGTTTCGTTAAGAGATGTCCGGAAAAATTGCAAACAGAAAATATCAACATCAGTAATATAACCACTGTTATTAAAACTATCGCTGTAGATTTAAGAGGATTGAATGTCATTACAGTTCTCAATTTGTTTTTTATCATGAAATTCTATATTCAATACTAAATGAATGAATGAATACATAGTGATTAATACCTCAATTTGTTCAGGAATTAAGGTGGACAGGGCTGAACTGCAACCAAGATTGGAGGGATTACTTATAATAAATAAATTTCAATGATCATGTCTATAGGTCTCTCAATGAACTTGCTTAACCTTTAAACTATTAAGTTGAATTTCAATCGTTCACATAAACTGGATGGAACTAGAAAAGAAGGCCCAGGATAAAGTGGGTTGGAGAATGCTAGTCGGCAGCCTATGCTCCATTGGGAGTAACAGGCGTAAGTAAGTAAGTAAGTAAGTAAGTACATATTTAATCTTATTCATTTCTTGATACAGCCACACGATTATAAGATACAAACAACGGTTTCTATCTCCTAATGTAAATTAAATCCATCAATCTGAATTTTCTATTAGTTACCTTGAGAGGTAAATGCATGAATCCAGATAAGAACTAAATCAATCATTCTCTATTAAACTAATTTTAAATAATCTTAGTTTAATTATTTATCCAATTTGTATTACTTCCAGGATCATTCCAAGATTCTATCAAATCTTGATAACCAAAATCAGAATTCTGAAGCAGAGTTAAAAATGAAGAGTTTAATCAAGAAATTTTGGAAAATTCAAATATTTGTTTATGAAGATGCTGAAGAACTAAAAGCACAAAAACACATTTATCAACTTTATAGGTATGTTTTCCTATCGTTATAATCGCTCTCGTAATCATCATCAAACAATTTATACATTATCAGAAAAGAGTTTTGTGGATATTATAGTAATTTAATAATTGAATTCATGAGTCAATTAAACGTAAACCACCATGGAAAACCTGTTGTGTAATAGTAACTCACTAAAGACAATAATGGATAGTTATTGACTTCTGTGGATTAGTTGAAGCTAGAAACTAATACTATTGGATGCCGACTAAGTAGTATAGAGGTTAGGCATTCACGTGCAAGACTGGTAGATCCTGGATTCGAATCCCCCGAGCGCGATCATGGATGCACACTACTGGGACAAAACATCCGTCCGCTGCTTTCAGGTTCTTCATGATAGTCTAGCTTTAATTGATTCATTATAAATTACTAAATCATTTTATATATATGTATACTTAGTACTATAGTGGAAATGTTTCGATATCATTATTTCAACAACAAAAAAAATGTATATCATTGATGAATCATAATTTTCTTGACCCTTGTCACAAAAAGAATAGTATTAAACAAAATTATACACAGTATTTTGAGGAAAAAAAAAAAAGAAACTTTTAAACAAGCATGATATCCGGACCAAATTGATAAAAGTATTCCATTGACCTAATTAAACAAACATGATTTCATTAAAATCAAGTTTTATTTATTGCGTGTAAGACTAGTTACATTCATTTTATAAACAATCCTGTTCAATTAAATTATCAGAGCGTAAACAAATACATATATTTTTTTTTAATCTTTATACACGCAATTCTACTGAGGTATACCGAGGTAATAGAAACAAAATATAATAGTTTTGAGAATTTGTCATCCACAGAGAGAAGATTATTGGATTGTAAATCTTTACTGACTAACAATAAAATCTAACATGTGTCATATGTAAATGAATTCATTTTTATTTAAAATTAAACAAAGATCCTAATGGAAGATTATCCAGGTCACTTGGGTGCCATCATTATGCATTCCAAGATGTTGTTGTTTGTTTTTTTTTATGGAAAAGAACAGTTCACTCTTTAAGATGCATATTATGAATAGAGAGTAACATAGAATTATGTTTTATTAGTATTCTCAAAAAGATATAATTTTAAATAATATTTAAGTGTGATTAATTTAAAGTGAATATAAGATCATTTAGACTCAAGTTGAACGAATCCATATTTAATGTCTCTTATGTGTTACAACTCGGATAAACTGAAATGTCATACACATAGTTTCCTTTATCATTTTGAAAAGAGCTAGAACAAAGATTTTAGCAGAATAGCATGAATTCATTTTATTTCGTAGGTTCTCATCAGCTGCTTACAACCTGTTTTATTTATAAATCATAATAAGATAATGAGTTTAAATGACTTACATGAGAGAGTTTTGTTAGAAGTTATATAGAAGACATATTCGTATAGTGTAGCAAGAGTGTAAATGAAATTAATAGACTGAATATTGTAAATATATACCTAATGTGAAAGAATATTCTACATCATTAATTGTGACAACAGTTCAAAAAGGGGGTTAGAAACAATTGATTACATAATGAGTGAAAAATTTTGATAGGAATATAGTGAGTAGAGTTCAGTTAAAAGATTATTAATTTGAAACGTAGTTGAAGAAATGAAATAATCAAAATCAATGATGTAATAAGTACAAAAATAATAATAATAATTTATGGTGCAGCGAAGGAATATTTGTCACCAAGGCAAAGAAAGATTAACAACCATCTCCTTTTGAACACATAGGTCAGGTTTTTGACGCCTGATGGCGTCTTCTATATAACTTCTAACAAAACTCTCTCATGTAAGTCATTTAAACTCATTATCTTATTATGATTTATAAATAAAACAGGTTGTAAGCAGCTGATGAGAACCTACGAAATAAAATGAATTCATGCTATTCTGCTAAAATCTTTGTTCTAGCTCTTTTCAAAACTGAAATGTGTTTAACAATGAGAAATAAACATAAAGTTATTGCATACAATTAAATTTTTATTAGTGGTTTAACTAAAGTAGATTTCACTTGTGTAGTCTCCATAACTTGATTTGTTCTATTAATGCTAAGTGTATAAATATATGATCTGTGATCAGTTATTTTTCAATAATTTACCTTACAAAAAAAATGTGAACTTCAGCTTTAAATAGCCTGAATATTATTATCGATTGTGATTTTTTTTTTGGTCAGAGATTTAGAAAATGAAAGGATTTGGACTCATGAAAAACTTCTTTTAGCTGATAACACTTATATTGGTCGATCGTTATTTGCTGTAAATCAGTTGATTAGGCAACATCGATTACTCATAAAAGAAGTAGCCAATAGAAAAAATAGAATGGAAATCATGATACAAGTGGGTAAATGTCTAAACTATGAGTATTCATACTATTTAATATGAAATTATTATATTTGACACAAATTACATTGAACTAATGTGCTTATATTTAGCATTGCATAATACATTTTATTTTTGAGATTTATTTGTATCTAAGTACTTTGATGTTAATTATTTATTCTCTTAATGTCTCCTGGGTTAACTCAAGACCTAAAAGACATTCTGCATAAGTCAAAGTGTAGTGAACAGAACACGGGTGAGGGGGCGAGGCCGTGGGTGCGCCCTGCTGAGAAGTCTCATACTAGGGCGAAATGGCCGTCCAATGAATCCAGGTTTTCCATGGTGGTCTAGCTTCAATTGAATTATGATTTAACCATTCAAATTACCACAATCTCCACAAAACCCCTTCCAATAACGATCGAATATATTTAACAGTAAATTACAGAGCATCTCAATAAAATCTGAGAACCATATATTAAATCGTTAATTTGCAAAATATTAATCCATCATATCAAACTGAACTATTCCTGTTGCAAACATCAATCCATTGTCTGACATTTCATTGTTCATGCGTTTTCCTACAAATTTTATTGTGTTTTTGCTCTTTCTTTCTTGATCTTTCCCCATCTTCTGCTTCCAGATATTACGTTCCTAACTCGCGTCATATACTACTTATGTCTACATAAGTAGTACACACCACAAAATGATCTGCCTTTTTAAAATGATTGGTTTATTCATTTTGAATATTACGTATATTATTGGAATTGAATGTAGGGACAACCAATTTCTAACTCAATTGTCTACAATTGATTCACTTGTCAAGAGATACTATTCTCCTAGATTTTATTCCATGTCGAGTTATAAATGTTTTCTAGCCTAAAATCTATTCTTTGCTCACCTAAATGACTATCTAGTTTTAAATATTTTTTTTTGTTTAGATTTCCATTTAATTTAATAACTTGATATTACGATTATAATCTATAAAGATTTTCAGCATGAAGTAAAATACTCTATTTATTGAGAACAGTAATAGAAAGTTTATTCATTTCAAGTTAGTTATCAGGATATTTTATATATATATATATATATAACCAACCTAAATGATACTCAGAAAAGAGAAGAAATCATGCGTTCTTATCTCCATTAATCACTATTTGACATTAATTGGTAATCGCTTAAAAACAATCCCAGTTACTGCGATTTGTTTTTGCGGAGGGGGGGGGCGGAAGAGGAGAGTTTATTTCAGTTTTCTATAATGATAACTAATTGTATCTATCTGATAGTTCTTTTTTTCTGTTGTTGTTGTTTTTTTCGTTTTCTTTTTTCTTTTTTTTTTTTAGGATGCAGATAATATTATTACGAAATTTCAGTCAATGTTTGAAGTAGTCATAGATGATTATAATAAAACAATTCAACAATCAATGATTAGATCATCTGAGAAAATAATTACCAGTCCAATAGATGATAATTCTATTCAAATTGAATTATCAACTAATATAGGTGTAAAATATAAAATTCCTAAAAAAATTTTAAATGATTTATATACATTAGTTATAGAATTACGTTATGATTTAGAAAATTTGATTGATCGAATGTCTAAACGTACTGAACGATTAAATATAGGCTTTCAATGTTTTACACATCTTGGTGAATTTGCAGAATTACGCAGTTGGTTACAAGAATGTGAAGATATGTTACTTTTAGAATCAAGAGCTAGTCGTGATATAATTACAGCTAAAACTGAACTTAAAAAACATGCTAATATTGAATTTCGTGTAAATACATTATTAGCAAATTGTGTTTGTGATTTCAGTAAGTTTTACGGGTTTTGTTTTGTTTTGTTTTGTTTTTTGTTTTTTTTTGTAGATCACTATTTTATATAAGTCCGTTTTAAAGGTTTCATTTATGAGTGTTGTGTGTACACATTTCATAAACAGTATAATTAGTAACATTAATGAAGATGTAAATATATTGAGCTTTAATATAATATGTCTGATTGAGTAAAAATGACTATAATCTGAACTAAATAAGATGTTCTTGTTATGTCCCGATAAGCACATAATAAATGGTAACTTTGGGATCCATTTATGGATCAATATTAAACGTATATCTTTTATCGTATAATTGTGAAATAACTAAACCATCCATATTCATGTTCCTCTTATTATAAGCTTTATTTTGATCTATGAACCATTATTATACGTTTTACCATTCTGGGATTATGCCCTGTTCATTAGTCACTGCCTCCCACATTCACAGCCACATTTGGCCGAATTTCGTACAAATGTTATTTTCTATTATATGCTACGTTGTGGTCTGTTTGATTGATATATAAACTCAGTATGTTTGAAATATAATGCTTAGTATTGCAGAGTCTGAGATTGGTGTTCTGGACTCAACTGGCTGGGCTAGGCGGAAAGCACGACCAATCAGAACTCTAGGCAGCTCGCATGTGTTTTACGCGTTCTTGGTCCAATCGATAATTCACTGCCCTCTAATCGGTGGTCCATCATATAACAGTTCTGGCCGTGCTTGTACGAGTGATTAATTGTCTACTTTTCAGTATGCTCATTTTAATTCACACGTAATTCTCTTATTTAGTTGGCCGATGATCAAAAGATGCATGTATGGGATCATTGGTTTTGTGCTAATTGACTATCGTTACTGAAACGTGCCTTCAGCTATTTGAAGACCTTTGTTTCTAGTTAGATTCAAGATCTCATCACCAACGTTCCATTAAAAACCCACTTGCACTTGTAACTTAATAATCGTTACAAATATATCGTAATTTGACATGTCAGACTTATAAAAGCCATTATGTAAACTGATACAAAGAGGAATACCTATATGACCGTTGAAATCTTATTGGTTACATTAGATGTACTGTTAATAGTAACCTCTCATTTTATGCACATTTTTATCTGTCTCTACATGGGTATATTATTGATTGTCTTTTTGACTTATCTCTTAAACAAATTCAACATTTAAACCATGCTTCACTGTAAGCTTACTTTGCATACATTAGGCTTAATGATATCTCGACACTAAATTCATCTGATTATCCAACAATATTTGGTCTAAAATATATATATATATATATATATATATATATATATATATATATATATATATATATATCAAATTAATTGGGATCATTCATAATCAAAATCGAAGTAGACGCTAACATTCTAATTGAGCCATAAACTTCTCTCACCAGTACTGAATATTTATATTAACCAATTATTTACTAGTAAATAATACCAAGTTGTTTGTTCAGTAGCAATAATGGAATTATATTGGTGAAATAATGTCGAAGGTTTGATTAACCTTACATTATATAAGACTGTATTTTTGCCAAATTATCAGATCTTAGTAAGATAAGTAGTATGTTGCTGACGTAACATTTGAAGCTCTTTGTATTAGTATATTCATCTTATTTGAAATTACTATTTCCAGTAATCTGTTATCTATTAATTTTCTTTCCTAATCTATAAAAAGAATTTTTTTTTTCTATTTTGTCTAATACCATTCCTACATTTGCACTTTTTCATTTGATTTCTTTGAATATGTCAATAGGTGACCAATCACAATACTCTGTTCTGTTGTTTTATTCTAGTTACTAGTTATTTAAATCATCGTTATCGAATTTCATGTTTTGATTATACCTGGAAAGTTTCAATTAAAGTAAAAGTGAAATCTATCAACAATATTCACATCAAATTGTAGATAGATACTGTTAACCAACATCAACTATCATGTAAATATAAGTGAAAGCAATACCAGTTTTCCAATAAAAAATAAAGCCATATCCTGTTGTTAATGGATAGTTTTGCTACCATGAACGGCTTACAATAATAAATAGTACACCTGAAGCAAGCTATTTTATTAAGTTTTCATTATATTTGTGAAAACTTAATCAGTTGGCAATCAATGTCCGTAGGTATGGTATGTGCTTTGTACCTTTGAAGTGCAAAGTATTTCTACAAGACCGACAGGATTCTAATCCTGTACTCACTCTGGATGGTGAGCAGATAGAAGTAGTCGAGAAGTTCGTGTATCTGGGTAGCTGCATAAGTGCTGGTGGTGGCGTGAGTGATGAGATCAATACATGTGTGGTGAAAGCCAGAGCGGCTTATGCCAATCTGGGCCACCTATGGCGCCTTCGTGATGTTAGTCTGGCTGTAAAAGGTCGGATCTACAACGCGACGGTGAGAGCAGTTCTGCTCTATGCATGTGAAACCTGGCCTCTCCGAGTTGAGGATGTTAGACGTCTCTCTGTGTTCGATCATTGCTGTCTCCGAAGGATTGCTAACATCCAGTGGCAACACCATGTTAGTAATGCAGAGGCTCGGCATCGTGTGTTCGGGCACAGAGACGATAATCCAATTGGTGTCACCATCTTAAAACACCGGCTTCGGTGGCTTGGACATGTTCTACGAATGTCGTCCCAGAGAATTCCACGTCGTGCACTATTTGCCGACCCTGGGACTGGTTGGAAAAAGCGGTGAGGTGGTCAGTATATGATATGGTGTCGTGGTATGAAAGAAAGCTGCAAAGGACTGGCTTGTGTTGGTCCTTCACGACTCCCTGGCTGGGGTCCGAGAGATGGTGTAACACAGTGGCTAGAAACGTTATCAGATATGGCTCAGAATAGAAGCCAGTAGCGATCCTGCTGTAACCTTCTTTTACTTTCTTCATAAAAAGTGGCTGTATCCTCCTTAAATGTAAGATTTCTTCTGATTGTACCTTTTCGTCTCCCCCCATTATTGTTCTTTTTTTTATAATCCCCTATGTTCCTTACTTTTTTTTCCCTTCTTAAATTCTCATTGTTTTGTGTGGCACATATATATTTGGTGCCCCCCTGTACCAATATTTATGTGTTCAAATAAATAAATAATAAATAATTTTATTAAGTTAGTTATCATTATGGGAAAACTTTAGGTAGATGATCTTTTAAAATTAAAAAATACTTGTGAATCATTTTGTGTTAATATGGAATTCCTCAGTATTGTACAACTACCATCCAAATAATAATCAAATCTATGGTACTAATTCTTCACGGCAAGTTATTAATCTGTAAATCACTGAGCTACGATACAATAGTCCATATTTTTTTTATTATCAATAATTAGCATTACTAAACGACCGTTATCAATTGTTATCTAAAAGACCTTTCTCAATTACCTCATAGTTCAGACCTTTTAAGTTAATTTTTACACGTTAATTTTATACCAGACTACATGATCAATGATTGTGACACATCAGATCCTTATACAAATGCACAAATTTATTTTGTTACTATAATTTCATTACATTTCATGACTTGTATTCACATGAATGAATTCAAAATTCAATAACTTAATATGATTGGAAAAGGTTTTAGTGTGCAGTTGTTCTGCGAAACTTATGTATGTTAGATGCTTTTTGATTTCTGATCATTTCTTCAACGAAGTTGAGTAAAGACTGCCTAGTCAAACATCAGTGTTACTTCTAATGTTCACTTCTCGGGTTGTTTTTAACAAATACGGTTTCCATTTTTAATATTTGATACACATGTGAATAATAGTGACAATGTCTATATAAAAATGTTCAGTCAATTACTTTTTCATTACCACTTTAAAATATCTAGTCTTATTCTAATCATTTTATAAAATTAAGTAGTAAGTATAGGTAATCAAGATGTTCTTTATCTTGAAATCCTGCAACGAACTGTCACCAACTGGTTAAGTGACTTGAAAATGTGAACAGGGAGAAGGCTTTTCAAAAGCCGTCAAGATGTTGTTACATTTACAGAGAGAAATCCTTGAATCTGTGTAAAATGAGAAGAGTCTCTTTGGTACATATTTAAACGACACTTTACAAGTAAAAGTATAACTAAATTAATACAAAAGTAGATCGAACCTATCTCTAGCTTTATACCATTTCGTTTTGTATTTATTAGGTGTAGGAAACCTAATTACTCATATGTGTATTTCGTGTTAACTGTCAAAAAATGTAGTGAATTTTTTATATGCTGCTGCTGTTGTTGTTGTTTACAGTCAAATCGTATTCGGTAAAAAAAAGTTTAAGTTATATTTCTGTGATTTAACAAGAGATTATGTGGTGTGTTCTACTTATGTAGACATAAGTAGTATATGACGCGAGTTAGGAACGTAATGTCTGGCAGCAGAAATTGAAGGAAGATCAAGAAAGGAAGGGCGGGTACACAATGGGATTTGTATGCAAACTTATGAACAATGAAATGTCAGACGATCGATTGATGTATGCAACAGGAACAGTCCAGTTTGATATGATGGATTAATATTTTGCAAATTAACGATTTACTATATGGTTGTTAGATTTTAATAACAAGTGCTGTAATTAGTAGTCACATTTTAATGTAGTATCGATTGCCATATCAAGCTCATATACCTTATTCTGGATGGTTCGATTTGTCCGTCACATTTTGACCTTGTTAATTCTTCACTTATCAACCTTGACTGTTTTTATATAAGCGCATATATAGGTGTGTACACTTCTTATCCCATTTATCATACGTTTGTAACTTATTTTTATGTGACTATAAATATTGATACCGCTTGATTAAATGGCAGTTGGCTTACAAAACTTCTCCACCGCGTGTTATTTCACTTTGCTCTTTTCTATTTCACTTCATCCCTTTCATTTCCTGTCCAGATCAATAAGTGTACAAAATAAATGTATTCAAAAGTTCCATTCTCGTATGTGTTATTCACCAATACAATTTAACTCGATGATTATTACATATTAAAGTTAAACTTAATAATAAACAAAGTGATATTCATTTATTACAA